TCTTATGATTATATTGTTTTCTGTTTATTGATCTGATTCTGAAAAGTAACTACTAAATTCAGGTATCAAATAAATGTAATAAAATGTAGGGAAGTCATATTATGAAGCAACAAAAAATAAAAACACTCAAGTAAAAAACAGATACCTCAAAATTGTACTCAAGTACAGTACTTGAGTAAATTATGGCTACATTCCACTTTCCTGATTGGTTTAGTGAAGCGATTCCTGTCACGCTATTGATTTTTCTTTTTAAAAAGTGCTGTATTGTGAAATATGTAAAGCAACATCATCGTGGCGTGTAACGCAACTTGGATTAGAAATGTAGCGGAGTAGAATATATAGATACTTGCTCTTAGATGGAGTGGAGTAAAAGTCAAAGTATCCAAAATTAAATCTATTTAAATAAAGCACAGATACATGAAAAATGTACTTAAATACAGTAACAAAGTAATTGTACTTCATTACTTTCCATCATTGCCTACAGACTTGGTACAGCTGCACTAGGGCAACATGCAAAACTCACACACACACACACACACACACACACACACACACACCAAAAAACATGTCCATATCTATCTGGTTAGCTTAGCTTAGCATAATAACCATCATTTTTACTACAGTTTTTACACTTATGCTTTTGTACCAATTAAACTAAGGAGATAAAATGTAGTCATTGTCTTTTAGAAGGAAAACTACTGCTTTACTGCTGTAAAAACGAGTTAACTGTGTGCATTCTATTCCCATAATCCCTCTCTTCCTTAGACATGGCAGTGGGTTGCTGAACCAGATGCACACACTCTTGCAAATCTAGTGACGTAATAAACATTTTCTCTATTTAGAAAAGAGGAACAGCGAGGATGATGTGTGTGAGAAAGGAAGTGGCAGACGCATCAGGAACATACTTAAAGTAAAACCACCAGTAAACAAATAAAAATGATTTTGGTTTTATGTGCAACCAGCACATCGCACAGCTTGATTCTGTTAGTTCCACTTGAGTGGCATCCATCAGACGCTGCAGCTTTCTTTAAACTTCAGCCATCGACAAACAGTGACATCAGACAGGATACTGGAGTTATATTGATTTCACTACCACAGACTAACTTCTCCATCTGTACTTTTCCCAAATTTTGTTGCAGCTTAATTGTGAGAGTTCCCTCTTGAACAATCAAGCCTCAGAAAACGAGCTTCAACGGGACATCTACACGTGATGAAACTTGGTGTCAGTATGAAAAATGTGGGAAGTTGAATAAGACAAATCAGTTAGGATCGTTTCCAGGACAATCAAGTGTTGAAAATAATCCCATGCCAAGAGCTCTTAAATATGTGTGTGCTGTTTAAAAATGTCAGTAAAGTCATTACAAACGAGAACAGTGGCAGACAGCCAGTTCAAAAGGAATTTTCCCTTTCTGAATTCTCTCGTGGCCTCAGCCTAGACTAAACCACAGGAATCCAGCAGCGGATTGGTGCTTGGGCACTTCGAAAGAGGATCCCCAGGTCATATTTGCACCTCTGAAAATGCCACATCTCACATCACTTTCATATGGACAGAGTCATATGGATAGATTTATTTTATAGGCCAGTCCCACAGTGAGAATGACTTCATGGAACAGAAAGGTAGGAAACACTGACTGGGTGCGTGAATAAGAGGTTCCACTTCCATTTTGGCCTCGCACAAAGCCAAGAAAAAGTCAAAGTTACCAAGGACAAAGAGAAGGAGAAAAGAGCCAAGGATATCAAGTCACAGGTATGGCTTCTACGTTGTGCATCTACAGTGGGGTCTAGGTAGGTTAGATCTATGGTACATCTTCAGCCAAACTAATGTTCTACATCAGTAGCAGCCTGCAAGAACAGAGTCCTTATTGTAAAATGAACAAACCACAATGACCATTGGCTACAATGAAGTTTCCCCCTGTAAAATGAAGAAAGGAAAATGCTAGCCAGCTGTTTCCAGCCACAAAAGACAGAGCTGAGGCTGTTTCTGAGGATGCTGGACAAAAGGCGCAAGAAGAATTGAGATGATGCCTTTAGCACATGATGCTGGTTAGCCCTGGTCCAGACATTTTATTAACAGACTGCATGAGGTAGTCGAAGCTAACCCCTCCTCCACTGCCCTCTACAGCACGGCAGTCCTGTTAAAGTCATTAGCTCAGGGATACTGGCGAAGGCTGCTGCCCCCATGATATCACTGTAGGCTGCTGTCATTCTAGTGGGACATCTGTGGGCTGTGCCTGAGAGAGAGAGGGTAGTCCTACCACACAGATGCAGACACATCCGTTTACATGCCATCATGACGCAGGAAACACAGTGGTCAAGAGGAGGGGAAATGACCCATTTCAAAACATCCATTTATGCAGAGCGGTTTATTTATTGAGGCTGTGACAAAGCCAATTATGTTTCTGCCAACAAAGACGAAAGAAATCTGTCCAGTTGAGAGAAAAGGTGAAGTGAACTCTCTCAGACTATTTATGGCATATGTGAGACTTTGGAAGAAGCGCCGAAAGCTATAGCTACTGCCAGATGCCAAAGCCAGGGCCTTGCCTTCCTGAAGAGCTTCAACCGCAAAGACAGATGCTTTTGATGTACCTTTATCTCACATCGGGGCAGAGAGAAGACCATTGTCAGATGAGGAGACAAATACACAAGCATGTTGTTCTTTCCAACAAAGTAAAGGAAATCTGGAGCTACTATGGGGAAGGGTGGGGTTAGAGAGTTTGAAAACTTTTCCCAGTCAAAAGCACAGCTGAAATGTTGAGTCTACCGCCTCTTGCATAGAAATCATCTGCTCTGCTTGGCTGAACATAATAACAGGGATCTGCTTTGTGTTGCAGAACAGTCAAACGACCAGTCTCTCAGCAAGTTGTATGTTGATTAAAAAAAAAGAAAAAAACATTTCCAGCCTTTTTTTTTTTTTATACAGGACATGTGAAGGGTATACATCTCTTTAAGATGGTAAACCCACCAAACACATGCAAAATCCTTACATTCAGGGAGTCAGTGTGAGAAAGACAACTTGAGCCGTCATCATGCTTACTGTTGCAGCGTACTGGTGTATAATTGTCATAATAGCTGAGAGCACAGCAGTCAACAAACCGGCTTTGAATGGTTTCTTGCTGCACTAGCCTCTTCACATGAGGGCTTTTCCCTGTAGCTGCCGATAGCCCTGGCAAGCAAATGTGGCTTTATGCCAGCAACATGGAGTGTCCGCAAAGTATTCAAGAACGAGATTATCTGAGTAATGCCGTGAGGATCGCAGCTCTTTTCTGCTTGATGCTGTAATTAAGGTCTTAAAATCGAGACTGGGTGTGGTTAGGTAGAGATGTGGAGTGAGGAGCACAAAATAACCACCCTCATGCTACTGTTAAACAATAAATAAACAAACAGGGAGTCTATTGTCGACATTAAAAGCCTTTTGAATTTTGTGCGTTTTATGTTTCTCTGACTCAGTACTATGACTAATGTTACTTAAGAGTTGTACAACATGGCCTTTGTGAAGGGCATTCTACTGTGTGGAGGCCAATGTGGCGTCCTGTCGGAACCATTTCAATAAAAATAAGCCTTCAGCAAAAGCCAGTGGTTCCCTGTGGCTTGTGACCCCCACTGAACCCACCTAGCCCATTATGACCAGACATAACCTATTACATAAGCAAAGAGTGACTTCTACTTGGAATTTTCTCATTTAAAGAAATAGTGTGATTATATATATATAACTTGAGAGACACCCTTGTTAGCCAAGCGTTTGATTAGCAGATCAATAATACCACTCTAGTTTTCATCCCTTAATAAAGTTAAGTTTCAGCTGGTTTCCAAGCACTCTCACAGTAAAAGTAACCCTGTAAAACCACAGCTTCTTATTTTGACTCTACGGGATGTGGTAAAAAATGAGATACCTTGTAAGCGTTAGATGGGCTAGCAGGTAGATTTTGTTACTTTGTGCAGAGCCAGGCTTTCCCCCTGTCTGTATCTGAATAAAGTATCTGAATACAATACTTGATCAAAGATACACTTCAGCTCCGAGCTGCAACTAATTATCATTTTTCATTATCCATAAACCTGGCAAATGCCCTTGATTAAGCCTTGGTTTATAAAATGTCAGTAAAATATTCCCAAAAACCCTGAAATGGAGGAACTGGAAAGGTTTTTACTAAAATAGGACTTGAATAGTGAATCAATTATCAATTAATTAAATGATCGTCTTCTCGTTTCTGCTCCAGTAGAGTGAAGAATGTTATTTCCTTCCTAACTGACTGCAGCACTTCATTACTGGGTCATGAACAATAGCAGCTCGACACGTTGCTACAAACTCCACATGGTTATTTATGGGAAATTAACTTTTTTTAAGTGGCCTTTTATGATGTGCAAAAAAAAACTGTGCCCGTGACGTGGGGTGACAATCACTTGACTGTGTTGATAGTCGGTAAAAGTGGGTGTTGACCGTGCGCTCTGGGTTACAAAGCGCACAACAACTCGAGCACTGCCTGATGTGGACTGCGGTGGGAGGGAGGAAAGGGGAGGGGACACTAAACGGGAGTGGGAGTTTTGGGGGAATTCAGAAAATGCTGTTTTCAAAACTCTGAATAAACCCAGAGGGAGAATCCCTGATGTGTCCTACAAAAGTTGCAGTATAATGTGTAGAACTAAACCCCCTCTCGCTGCGCTCACCGTCTCCACTTCAGCCAAACGCTGACTTGTCTGACTTTAGGGGTTCAGACAAAAGATCCGGGGGAGGGGAGCGGGTGCAAAGGACGATAAAGACATAAGTGTACATGCACACGCGCTTTGTCAACACACAAGCCCACGTAACGGCTTTTTAACCACTACCCGTAATGTTTATGTTAGTGTTGTGAATTTGGATGAAATAACAAGTTTATGAGGCTGTTTAGCAGATGTGTCAAAACAAAAATGGTAAAAACAAAAAACAAACTAATCAGTAGGCGAATGTAAAACAATCTGATAGTTGGTAGATGTCTTTTTGGCCAATTAAGACAACTGGCACTTACCAAAACAATGGCAAATTTCTCCTCAAGCTCGGTGGGGTCAGGCATGGGCACCTTCAGAGGCATGATGTGATGCTTCATCTCGGACTGGCCGTCCACACTTTCTAGATTCCCCATTTTCCCCCAGCAGCACCGCTTCCTCTTGTCAACTTGAAACCTTACAATCCCTCAGATTCTTTCAGTGATGATAATCCAAGTGAAAATAAAAACTCCCAAGTATTCCAACGATTTCACTAACATATTAATCCACTTCTCGAAGCAGAGATAAAAAGCTGACAATGCAGTAGTCTCGTAGGCTACTACTGTCCCAAAAGGACATTTAGACTTTATCACGCATTTCAGTTCACAGTGAACTCCACTGTGGCGTCCCTTCAACAACTTACTCTCAAAAGTAACAAAGGTACAGCTGCTTTCTCTTCCAGAAAGACGCTTCTAGTGTGCCGAGCCAATCCATTACTTGGAACAGATTTCCCCTCTTCAAGAGACACTCAGATGCCGAGGAACAGTTACTTTTAGTTGCTGCTCAACTTTCTTGGCTACAACGTGTTTCCATTCATTATTGTTGTGTGATCCTCATTAAGGTCTTTGCTGTCGTCTCCACTCAGAAGAAAGGTTTTCCCCTCTGGCCCCGCCCCTGCTGGGGGAAGCTCGTGATCTTATTGGCCCAAACACCAGTCAATCACTTCATCTGCGCTTTCACATCTGTAGGTGGTGAGCCCACATAGAGCCGGATGGAAAAGTAACGGTTTGTCAGAACTTTATCGCGACCTGGTGGCAAAATGCCGCTATTTCAAAAGACTAAAGATGTGTGTAAGAATTTATCTGGGGCAAAACACAAATATTAAATCACAAAACTGTTTTGATTCATAGGAGTGCAAACTTTAATCACAAGCTTCAGCATCTACATCATAATATGTTCAAATTATGTCAAAGTACAGCAGTTTTCTTCTTCTATTGTGGCACTTAAAACACTATTTTCTTTCCATTACCACAACTCAGTAATCCAAGCCTTTGTGGTAAGGTGACATGGTAGTACATAGAAGCTGTGCTGTGTATTTGCTTGCCTTTCACAAATGTTTTGCTTGGAAAAACAAATTAAAAACATGTCTGACAGCATCAACCTGCTGTCTTTAGCACTACTAACGCATACACACACAGAAGCACTGAGTGTTAAAACACCAGCAATGTTTTTTCAGTATATACAAAGTTATCTCTTCATAAAAGCACAGTGATTTAGACTTTGCTTAAAGTATTGTACCTCCATTTTCAGTGGTAATGTCTAATCTAGGTTTGTTAGACTTGGAATTATAAAAGTAATCATTATTCATCATGAATCATCAATAATCCTTTGGAACCTAACTTTTTAATTCAACACTGATACATTTTGCACAGTTTTGTAATACATAAGGCAATAATGTAAACTATGTCAAATCTGGAAATGTTTTGAGATTGTAAAAAATAATATTCAAAGGTCCAAACACTGTCACACCATAGCATATTAGCCACAGCATAAGCCCTTTTGTAAATAATATGAAGGATTTCTTCATGCTTTTAATATATAAACTTGGTATGCTGTGCTTCATAGCTGCATTTTTATCAAATATCTATTCAGCCAAAATATTCTACTGAAGAATCTGTTCAAGCGATCGTGGATCACATCATAGATGATGCACATGTAAAGTGTCGTCTCATAAATACTGATGGCCTATGTGTTTTGTGAAGCTGATACTGTTTGCCACCATTTTTTCTTCAGCGATGGTGGAAATGTCTATCTAAGCTGAATATACAGACAAATATTGTAAATCTCACAGAGCACAAAAGCAACACTTATGGTTATATAGTACCGCAGATCAAGCATAGATTTGTCTAATTGGTCTCCCCGACCAACTCATACCTAGGAAAACAGAAAGAAGACAATTTGTTAATATTTGTTTAAAATATGCTAAAATATTATATTTAAACCCGTGACCCCGTTCAGGGACTAAGCAGTAGAAGATGAATGAATGAATGAATGAATTATATTTAAATGTAATATTTGTACATACATCTGATGTTTGTTTAATAAACACTATTGTTCAGCAGCTGTTTAATTTATTACCATTGTGTGACACCAGTCTTGAGGTCAATTTGGTCCAACTCCAGCTGCAGCTGAAAGCAACAACACATTGATAAATATAAAGTATCACATCTAAGTCTTTTTTAATCTTGTGATAATCTTAGTCCAGGGGTTTTCAACCAGTGGTCTGCGGCACCCTGGGGGTCCACAAAGCCATTATAAGAGGTCCTGATCATGCATTCAATAGTGTAGTTTCACTGTAGGAATCTTTTTTTAAACTGATTTTCAGTTAGAAAAGCCAAGGTGACTTTCAGTCCATCCATTGTATCCATCCCGTGACAGTGGTGACCACTGAGTGGTCCTCGGGTCACTTCTTAGCCAGAGTGGTGGTCCCCACATCACAATCAGTTGAAAACCCCTGTCTTAAGCACTAACTAACTGCATTTCAGATGCAACGGATGATAAATACCTTGCCGATAAGCTCCCTCTCTCTGCTTATGAAGGAGACACTGTTCTTCACAGACAAGTGCAGTCTCTTCTGTGTAGACTCCTCGAGAGAGAACTCAAAGTCAAACCTACAGAAACAGAGGTTGATTACTATAAAATGCCCACACTTCCTTCACCATAATGAATGTCTCATTTATTTTTAACCTATTTTAACCTCTCATTAAATTCTGGGTTGAGGTCTCTCTTCTTGGTGGCAGTTCTCCTCTTGGTGGTAGCCTTCTTGTCAGGCAGCAGGACGAAGGAAACATAAGGGTCTGCACCATCCTTGGAGCGGGGTGCCAGGGCTCTGTGGTTGCATAAAGATCATATCACAAGATATGATGGTACCTGCTGCTCCAGGTGAAAAATGTAAATACAATAAAGGTCAGATGTCATATAAAGACCTGCAGGAGTGAACAGTGATGAAAAGCCTGCTCTCCTCTACAGAGTAGCCGATGGTGAGCTTCACCTGGCCCGCTGTGGTCGCATTATCACTGGCTCTAAAGACACAGTGGAGAAAACACAAACCAAGAAATGCTTTTAGAAACTGATGTTTTACAGAGGGAACTATACCAGAAATCAGCCTACAAGGGAAACCCTGATAACTACTTTCTTTACAGTAGAGACAGTGACAACACAGCAGGGCTCTGATGAGTGTGTGACTCACATGGAGAATCCACTTCTGTGTCTGAGGTCTAGGTGGGAAGGATCCCATCGGGGGATGGCTTCATCTCTGCTACCTGCATCCCCTGAGGCCCCGCGACACACCGCCTGCTGAGTATCCAAGAGCTGCAAGATATCGAGAAGTGGAAATCCACTGTGAGATCCAAATTTGTTTACAACAAAATATTAAATCCTTTGCAATTTTGTCCTTGTGAAAAGCTCAGATGAGAGCTTTTGGTTCTGACAGGTTTAGGTGTCAGGTAATAAACTCAACTGAATGGCAAGTGACTTCATTTCAGTTCATTTCATTTTCTACCGCTTAGTCCCTGAACGGGGTCACGGGTGGGGCCGGAGCCAATCCCGGCCCGCAATCGGGCGAAGGCGGGGTACACCCTGGACAGGTCGCCAATCCATCGCAGGGTGGCAAGTGACTTTTTTTGTGTTATATTTTATATCACATGTACACTGTCAGTTTGATCATTTTTTACTAACTACTTTTTCTACATAGGTTCAGTTAACTGAACTACACTAGATTTCTCCCTAGGAGAGTTTTACTGTAGTTCAACTTCTTCCAGTGTGAAGTAATTAGTAGCTTGCAGAGCTATGTTTTCAAAGTAGCTTCCCCAACACTGGTAATATTTTGCATGAAGTACTACACACCTAATGTTCGACTAAGAGTAGATTATATTACAATATGCTGTAATGTACAGTATACATTGCATTGCAGTATCAATTCAGTCCAGGGAAACAAGTGATACAGTAGAGAATAAACTGCAATCAGGACATTGCTCACATGCACACATATACTGCAGCATGTTGACAGTACCTTGAGTGTGGCCCTCAGTAGGATCTGGCTCTCTGGCAGAGCGCCATCCAGGTTGAACCAGCGGTCAAGCATCAAGTCCGTCTCAGCCAGCACTTCCCTGAGAGGAAGTGTTAAGGACCCGAGGGCCTGACCCCAGCTGTGGGAGAGCTAGATGAAAACACACACATATAAATACACAAATGTTTCACATCTGTATAAAATGCCAGCTTTGAGAGAAGATGGCTCTAATAACCTAATAAATGGTATAAACCAATTATCTATCCTGCTAACACAGAGTTGAGACAAAACGTAGAAATACAGATGCTGCTGATTATTCTCACCTTAACTATAAGTGTTTCATCTCTGGGGTCACGAACCAAAAAATAAAAGGCTTCGTCCCATCGAGGAGATGTGGCGCGTTCACAAATCTTGGAAAACAACCAACAGAAACATTTAACACTTTTGTCAAACAGTTGTTTTTGTTTTTTTTTGCATACACAAACACAGTGTGAAAGTCATAATACTACCTTGGTTTTGTGTGAAACACCTTTGAGGATAATCTCAGCCCCGACTTTTGGCTCCTTTCCACTCTTTTTCAACTAAAATGACAAATAACACTTGTAATAAACTGCAATAACTGTAGTCCTGCAGTTTGTGGTGCAAAGAACAACCCATCATACTGAACAACAAACGCCAAGGTCTCTCAGATAAAATCTCACCGGCAGGCCATGGGCACGCTCCACATACACAAACAGCAAAGCTGCTGATGGCACAACCTTGTTCTGGTAAGACTGCTGGGACTGGTACTGCAGGATCTGGTAGGAAGCAGGAAATATGCCGAGAAGCAGGGGGAGATGCTAGCGTAAATAATCCAACCAATCCACACAAAACATCTGCAAAGCACTCTCAAATTCCACAGTAAACAACAGGTTTTGATATTTCCAAGGTAGTTATTATTGTTCGTCCTGTCCCTACTACCTGTGGTGCAGGTTTGTCCTGGCACACTACACTAAAGAACATGGGGTTCAAATTTCATGCTCAGCTGAAATTACCAAGAGTTAGAAAATTGTAGGTATTTTACTGGCTACATAGCTATGGTGCTCCCTTGGTCCTGTTTATTTGTGTTTTGCTTTGCTGGTATTGATCTCTGTGCCCCCTGAGCAAAATTAGGCTTGCTAACTCAAAATTATGCGTGAAAAGTCAACTTTTGGAGTGGCCTTGCCTTCAGAAAATGTCATCCGATATATTCACCTTTAAGTCCATCATTTGTCTAATGTGAATTCGTTAGTATCATCATCGTACACCTCCAGGTTCTTGTTGTACTTGGTAAGTTTGACATTTTTATTATGTGTTTTAATTATTACACCTGATCTGACCCAAGTTTTAATTTACAAAAGTTTGTATATATTAGCTTTTGTATTGTTTATTAATAGTAAGATTATTATTATTATTTGCAATTCTTTATTATAAAATAAAAAATCTCACTGGCTCCAGCCTTTGTAGGTCAGAGACTCTGGGCAGCCACTCCAGCACCAGGTGAACTCGGCCTGACTTCACATCATTTAGCGTGTACCACTGTAAAAAGAATGGCACAGAAATGTTCTGGTTATGATACAAACATAAATATTATTTTTTTCAAATAATTTCAGCTATGTATTACAAACCGTATCCATGAACTGTGCGCTAGTGATATCACGTAGATTAAGCTTGAACCTGCAAAGAAAGGATTCAGTCAATACTTCTTCTTCTTTTCATTGACATATTTTCCTTTAGTTGCAAGAGCACCGTAGTCAGATATGCTGTGAAAGTTGTTTTGTACTGCCAGGATGCACCTTCCGAGAAAGTCATCCTGATCGAGGTCCTTGTCAAACAATTCAAACTGGATCTCCTGCCCAGGAAGCTGCGTCAAAATCACCTACATCACATAAAAAATAGATTAAATCTACTGTGATCTTAGACCTAAGAATTTCACTGAACAAACAAGACTAAATAGTTGAGCATTAAACAAAGCGATACCTCATAGAGCTCATTCCAGATGGGATTGAGGTTCTCTTTGATGGTGTGGCTGCGGAAGGTGATTCCAGCTACACGGATCTTGACATAGGGGTCACTCTTCCCCTTAACCATGCCCCCCATGAAGTTGTCCTTGGCTATTAGGTTTTGGGCCTCTACCAGATGAATACGCAGTACTCCCTGTGGATGGGGGATGTTACTTCAGTCTGTGTTTGAGAAACTGAGGGGTGTCTGCTGGTGTTTGACTCTAGTTAACTTTTTATTATTTTTTTTTTTACCTCAGTTGCAAACTCTGATTCTGGTGTGGTGTGCTGTGGTCGTGCTGGCTGAGGTTTAGCTAACCCGCCAGGCCCCATAGGGTTTAGTTCAGATGTGATTCCCCCGTGACCCATCCCGGACTCAGGGAATAAAGGCTGAGGCAACACAGTTGTAGGAGTGGCAATATCACTTAGCCACAAAACCTATTAGGAGACAAATGAGAAGTTATGGTGATTACTAAACAACACACTTTCGTTAAGAAAAAGATTTCTCACTTCAGGACAAAAAACTGTTTCCTGTCTGTATTTATGGGAACCACATGTTCTCATAGGGAAGGTATGTGGAATACCAACCCTAAGGACAATTTTGATGTAGATACGGCTGGCTGAACCAGAATTATCCAGCTGGAACCACTGGTCCATGATAAGGTCAGGGGAGGCCAGAACACGAGTGAGAGGGATGGTCAGACTACCCAGGGACAGAATTCGGTCATCATCTTTAACCTGAAGCACAAGACATAGAGTTAGACTGAAAAGCAGTATGAGAGGCAAAAATGGGAAAAAAGGGTCATAAAGTTTGAGTTCATCCAGAGAAAAAAACAATAAGGTATTTAATGTACTAATCACCTCAACACCTTGGGAAAAAATTGATGTAAAATCTTTGCAGCCAGTTTAATTGATGGGTTCGGTCATTACTGATAACCACTTACCTGAATGTCAATATCTTGTTTGCGAGGATCCTGAATAAAGAAGGTGAAGGCACCCTCCCAAACAGGGTTGCTGGTTTTGTAACAAGTCTGCAGAAAAAAAGAGGTAGAACATGCATTATGCTCAAAGTTTGGTTTAAGGTAGTTAGAAAAAGTTATGTTCTTACCTTGCTCTCTTTAGTTGTGTCCTGAATGGAAATCTGCACCACTGGGCTTGGGTCCTTGTTATCTTTTCTCATCTACAACATATTAAATACCTAAGTGTGGGTATCAGATGCAAATGTTACGCCCAACTCCATGACAGCATCTTAAATAATGATCATCTTACAGGCAGTTCATGTGCTTTGTCAAGATAGATGACTAAGATGGCGGCAGATGGAGGATCCGCTGTCTTGCTGGTCAGGTTCTGGTTCTGCTGAATCACCTGGCAGATGAAAAACAAAGCATGTGGTGAAAATGACCTAGGACCCAAAAAAAATTCCACCTGGCCCAGGACAAATTTAATATTTTAATATGTAATACTTTAACTGACATTTTAAATGATTGTCTTTAACTTCAAAATAACTTTATTGTCCCCCAAAGCAAACTCTGTCAGGTGAAACTGTACTGGTGGTTTTAGTCAGCGGGATAGCTGTTGTCTGTACCCATGTAGTGGTGTCTATGAAATTAATGGACCCCTCTCCATTTTAATGTCACCTTTACATGCCGTTAACTTTGTGTCCCTTCTCTCTCCCCGTGCCTTTCTGGCACAGGAGCTGTACATTTCTGATGAGCAGTCACCTGCCACATTAGCCTGTTTTTGTCTGTTTGTTGTGCTTTGTTGCTTTTCTTTTCTTTTCTCTCTCCTCTATCCACTCACCCCAACCTGTCAAGGCCGCCCACCAAGAGTCAGGGTCTGTCGGAGGTTTCTTCTGATAAAGGAAGTTTTTCCTCCCCACTGTCACCAAGCGCTTGTTCAAGGAGGATTTGTTGGTGTTTCCTAATAATATTGTAAGGTCTAGATCTTATTATGTAAAGTACCCTGAGATGATTGTTGTTGTGAATTGGCACTTACAAATAAAATTGAATCGCAACACAGAACACACACAAATAAACAGTAATATAGTGCATACAAATAATTGCTCAACCCAAACACACAAGCTCACATCAAACAATGGACACCAGGGGGCAGTGTAACATAGAACACAGAGTACATTATTATCGGAGTGGATTACTTCTAGCAGAGCCAAGACTCCAAATGATTAATGGTGTTACTTATGATTTTAGAATTGCATATTTGTTTTATTCTGACCTGGGTAGATTTTATTGTTTACAGTTTTTACGTCATTGTTTTTGGTACCTGTTTTGGATTTTTAATTCTAATTACACTTGTTAAATTAAAATAACTCTAAAATAACATTTTATTCAATGGGAAAATATGAGTGTTTTTAAAAACACCAGTTTACAGGGCACTTTGGTGATTAAGTAAGATGTGTACCATGTAGCTACACCATTCCCAGTTTGATTCCGGCCAGAAACCTTTGTCATCATCCTCTTTTCCTGTGTTCCTTGACTCTCTATATTGTCATATTCTACAGAGAAAGGCAAAAATGCCATATATAGACTTAAACAATGAATAAATATCATGGAATAACAATTTAAAAAGAATACTCTGTGGATCATTTTTGTACAAACCACCACCCAAAAAAGATCCATTTAATATTTAAACTCACCTCACTCAATCTGTCAGCAGAGGACAGCAAGGAGAGCCACTCCAGCCGGAGGTGAACGCTGCCAGATGCAACATCTTTCAGACTGAACCACTGTTTAAAAAAACAGAGGGCTCTTTAAATGCACACTTTTCTCATGTGGCTGATTTTTTTGAGCCTGGACAAGATGGCAGGATGGAAGACGATGAGATCAAAGTAGGTCATGAGGAGGCACATGGGGTCTGCAGCGTCACACGCTACCAGGATTCCTGCAGTCTCACTCAGGAATTTTCTAAGGCTAAATAGAACTGTGTTCTCGTGTTTGCTGTTTATTATTCAGGCTGAGATTTAAAAACTGGATCATGTCTAAAACATCAAAAACACAGGGCAAACACACGTATTACTACTTACATCATCCACAACTCTGGCATTCTTTACAATATCAAAATCCACTTTGACCCTGAAGGAGAAAGAGACAGAGAAAAAGAAAGGTAGACAGAGAATCAGTGAAACCATGAGTCAGAGATCAAATGTCAACAGAATCTTAGCTCAGCATAGCAAGAGCAGAGATGGACATGACGGGAGAAGCACACAGGGACAGAGTAAGTGAATGAGAATGGATAAACTACCTGCCCAGGAAGTCATCCTGGTCTGGATCTTTGTCAAACACTTCCACTTCCAACTCCTGACCAGGTACTTCATGGACAATCACCTGACACACACATACACACACACAAATGGACAAATACGTAATACACACAACAAATATACAAATATAAATACAGCCACACAAGACACAAAAACACACGGACATGCAAACAGAATCGCAACGGCAAGAACTTTTTACTTTTATGCTAAGTAGAAATTAATTTCAAATTTTTTGTTTTAAAAATGTTCAGTGTTTGTCTTCAATTTCATAAACCACGAGAAAAGATAAACGAGTTATCGAGCAAGCGATTTTGTAAGACCTGTTTATCTCAGAAACAGCACCTTCCTGTTTCCAAAGAAACAGATAACATCTAATAAAATAATCTGGCAGTGACACATCTACTACCGAAGAAAGTGCAGTCCTATGAAGCAAGGACACCAACACCAACCAGCACCTTCCTTTTACCAAAGAAACAGATAAAATCTCAATAAAATAATCTGGCAGTGACATATCTACTACGGAAGAAAGTGCAGTCCTATGAAGCAAGAACACCAACACCAACCTATAATTTTAGTGAACAAACTGGAATATCAAAGCAAAGCCATACATTTTGTTTCTTTCTAGCTCATTTTTAGGGATATTTTCTCCCCTTCCAGCCCACCTCACCTCATACATCTCCCTCCACTGGGGGTTCAGGTTGCTGTCTACATGGTGAGAGGTGAAAATTTGGGTTCCAACACGCAGAATAGCATACGGGTCCGACTTCCCATCGATTAAGCCTTTGATGACAGTGTCTTTGGCAGTCAGGTTCTCAGCCTCCAACAGATGGATACGTACAACTCCCTAGCAAAATACAAGCATGCACAGAGAAAATCAAATTGCTAGTTGATTAGAATTCTCTCAAAACAACGGTATGTTTTTCATTCACAATGTGAATTTGCTGTATAACTTTAAGACTATGTGTATGCTTGCAGCTAATGAGGCAAATTTGCTTTAGTCTGCATGGGTCCGTGTTTCTCCAGGCCATCCATTATTGAGACAGTTACCCTTGGGAGAGGGGAGCGGAGCTCCGCAACCTTCATGTTGGCCACCAGGGGAACAGTGAGACGGTTGGGGAGAACCAGGCGGGAGGCTATTGCATCCATTATCATAGTGTCCGACATGGCACTGCAAATGAATGCAAGGTCGATGTTGGGGACACACAAGGGAGGGACACACAGACAACCAAACAAAGACTATATACTACTAGTGACCATATGAACATGCATAAGTAATATGATCCAGGTTCTGAACAACAGAACCAACAGCAAGCAACCACTGGCTAAAGATGAGGACAGAATGTGGAATCATGTTGGCTCATCAAAAGGAAGAATACAACTGAAAAATAATAACAAACTGTCACTGAGAGTATTTCCAGAGGGAATTAATGTCTCAGCAACAAATTTACATCTCTGATGATGCTTGAAATACATTACATTGTAACACAGATAATGAAGAATCAGCCACCATATAATTACAGGGAACATGACTGCTATGTGGAGTTGCAGTTCAAACCATCAGCTTGTCTTCATTTTCTATGTAACTGTGCCTTAGTTGATTCTGCATTGTCCACACGGTGACTTTAAATAAAGAGCCTTAAGAAGTACCTGAATATAAATGTACTGAGCCATAATATTACACACTGAAAACATGAGCACCAGTACATTCTGAAGACATACAATATTAAATCACAAATATAAACTTTCATCCTAAAAAACAAAAAGGTAATTGTCTAAAACAGCTGCACTTTGTAGAGAGAAGATTTTACACAAATAAGAGAAATGAATGCATTTGTTGTGCATTAATTTTAGATGTTGATGTACAGTATGTACCAGACCAGAACAGTCTATAAGGGACTGACTTAAAAAAAAAAAACTCCAGTGCTAATGTTTGTGGTTATGAAGGAACATATTCACTTAATGCAACAGTGGAGCATCTGGACAACAATGAAGATCTGTGGCACAGAGGAGCTACATCTGATAATAATAGGATCAATTCATTGTTGCTTTTTGTCTGTTCATGAAATTTGTTTACATGAATAAAAATGATAAATATGGCCATCCTTATCCTTTAAGGATGTAACAACACATATTTGTCACTGAACAGACAGACATGTAGATGCCACTGTCTGTCTCAGTTTGTTTTGGAACTCCTTTGAATTCCAGGAAAAGCCTCTGTGATTCTAGGAGCTGAATAAATAAGACATTCTCTAAAACATATGCAGCAGGTCCCAAACCTTTCTGCATAGTATAACAAACATAATCCTCAAACAGATACTTCTTGATAAAGAACAACAAAGAACAAATACCAGTCAAACTAAACAGTTCAGTAAAGCTGCATAGCACAAGAGATTGACAGAGAGCTCTATCTTGTACAAACTCACTTCAGTCCAGGGATATCCAGCAGGTTAGTAAGTCCAGTCCAGTTAATGTCCAGTTTCTACACATGTGAAACACATAATACAAATGAAAGTAGTGACATATGAATAAGTGTAGACCGTTAGATAACAATGCAGTTCAAAAGTGAAAACGCTCACAGGCCTGCGGATGAAAAACATTGTGATGGCTCCAACCAGCGGCACGTTTCCGATTAGAGGCTCGAGGATCACACGCAGCTTCCCGTGGAGCTACCGGGAGAACATTTTATATTGAAAGGATGTTTTCAGGCCACTTAAAGCTGGGGTCTGTAACTTTGAGAACCGAGTGGATTTGGGTAAAAAATGACTTTCATACCTGGATTCCTTTCACTCCGGCTTTGCAGAAGTATTTTTTGATTTCAACATTGATCTCGACATCACCAGCATAACTGCAATAGCACAGCAGTGACAAGACTAAATGCCTTTAAGCAAAGGAAGGAGCTGACATGAGTTATGACAAAGCTGTTTTTCTTTTTTAAGTAAACAAATACCTGCTATAAATAAGGACACTTCACCATAACTCAGGACCATTTCAGTGTCTGACTAAAGTGAATGGTTGCCTTATACAGTATATGCAACAATATAAAATGATGAAGTAAAAAAGGCTGTGATGCATTACCTCAGGTACAAATCCAACATAACTTGTCGCTTATCATGTTCTGTGTGAGCCTTAACACCATTCACCTTCAAAGCCTGTGAACAAAACAGCTCATATTAAACAAAGCAAACAAGACAGATGGAGATTCTATGAAAACACATTAGCGCAGGTGTGCTTGACTGTGTGGTGTAACGAAATGATCAGTCTTAACTATATAAAACCATTTGTATCATATTTGCTACGTGAGTTTTGGAGCAAATAAAAATCACCAAAAATGCCCCAGGTATCACATTTGATTAAAAAATAAATAAATAAACAAAATAATATGACACATTTATTTCTATATTGCCAGGACTGCCTGTTTATGCATAAATGACAAATAAAAATCTTGAATCTTGAATTTTCTTTTGGATTTTGTTAAAAGGTTTAATAAACATCTCAGTTCCAAAAAATTAGAATGTTCTGCCTATTTTTTGATGTGCCAGGCTTTACAGGGTTAATGATCATAGTAAACAAGGCGTGAAACCAGCCTTGTATCACCAGACTTAAGTACATATTACCCACAGTAACACGCTGGGCCTCACTATACTTTTATGGTCATGAAACATTTACAAGTTTTATGACAGATTCTTTATATACCTTGTCTCCTATGTTGACCTTGGTGAAGCTGAGAGTCTGCAGATGAATGCTAGAAGCACGGATGGCAGGAGCCACGGTTTCCACCAGCAATTTCTCCAGATACTGGCCTATAAAAGGCCAAGCCTGCTGTATGGTCTATGAGAGAACATATGACCATTCATTGCTTTTCTTTAAGGAGTTTATAAACAGCAAAGTCATGACCCAAGGGTTAAATAGAAGATGCAGCAGTTTTCATTTATATTTATAGCAATATAAATGTGTGTAAACACACATAGACAAGCACACAAGATCATGGCCATGGAGTGTTTGCCTTGTGGTTGAAAGACTGTTCTTTGAAGGTGCTGCCAAAAACCCATCTGACAGAGAAACTGTGAACAATAGCTCAACCATCACTAATTCAGCTCTTGAGTTATTAAATATTTTGAAGAATATAATTTTTGAAAGAAAAATAGATCAGTATTGCTTTGTTTCATTGGCCCATAGTATTCGATTGCGATCCCAGTCCTAATTTGCAACATTTGCCTCAATGGGAGGAACCACTGTGCAGCAGCAATGTGCCCGACAGGGAGTAAATAGAGAACCCAGCCAGGGTTAGCTAAAGAAAGCACGACATGTGTCTCATTTTTACACTAAATAAACAATTTGATACTTGATAGTGTACGGTTTATTATTTCATAGGACTAGGGGTTTAATTTACTTTTTATGTGTATTTCAAATGTGCCACCCCTCTCCGAGTCTGTGCCCCAGCCTGGCCTCCCCGTCCAAAGCTTTTTTAGATCCACCGCTGGTTCCCCTGCACCCTGGTGCATCTGGCACACTTTCACACTCCGCCTATCTAAAAAAAAAAATTCACGCTGTTCACTTCTAATTAGTGTGTGCATTTATAAGTGCATTTGTTTGGCTAGTGTTTCACACACAGTAAGTAAACTGTGACTATGACTATAATCAGATTCAGAATCAGAACATATTTGAAAAATAGCTCCTTGTAATGATTGAATAATTAATAAAAAATTTACTTGGATTTAAACTGAGCTTTTTAAGGAAACTGACATTTTTGCCATAATTAATAACAAATTGCATAGCCCCTCCAAGAAACTATGACTACTTGTGTTTATGTTTCAGGAAGATCGAGGTGTCAAGTCCTGTCAGCTACTGTTCACCAATCCTCTGACCACTGCTTCCATACTCCTCATGAGAGCACTGATCCTAACAGGCTACAGGCGGGTAAGTGTCCTGTACATTATTTATGACAGTTATAGACATGCAGTTAGGGATGAAGCATTTTATATATGTATGCTCCTCACAGGCTTTTTTTTCCCCATGCAAAACTCACAGACATTACGATTATGATGATCCTGATGATACTAAACTCAACAAGTTGTCAAATATAAATCTAAAGTGAGAACACTGGTGTTAATATATGGCTCTTTTCACAGCCGCGAGCGAGGAAGCTACATGTAACACGCCAGGAAGCACTGAGGAGAAAAACTGTCTGATGAAAGACAAGTTCAGCAAATTACCATCCCACAATCTGGCCTTCTGTTAGTGAGTGCATTATATTTTTCCCTCCAGAAGGCAACTTCATATTAGTATTCTCAGCCACACTGTGCTGATGCGACGTTACTGCACTGGCAGAGACAAGTAGGCTGTGATATGATCTGACCTGTTCTCTCTGTCTCTTAATTACACAGAGGAATTATTTGCTCTGAGGAGAGGCTGCAACCTTATCTTGAGATCACTTTATGTTTCCTTTGCTTTGCTAAGACCTCTGCTAACTGAAGCAGAGCTAGATATAATCACATAAGATGCTGGGTGTTGAAAGAGATTTTTTTTTAAATAGTTCCAAATTTAAAAATGTGCAGATGCACATACACAAATGAACACACACACACACACACACACACACACACATACCTTATTCAGCCACTCCACCTTTTCCACATCTGGAAAGTTGACCTGTGGACAAATAATATGGGTCAGGCATGAACTCACATATGATAGGGTAGTGTAAAAAGACCTCCAACTCTGAGCAAATAATTGGGATGATTATTCCAGCTTTTACTCTACAAAATATATAAAGTATCTTTTTACATAAATAAAGAGTAGAGAGAGAACTTGTCAGGGCCGCTCGGTGGCCGCTGCCTCTCCTCCGTCTTTCTCTCCTTTGCTCTTTCTATCCTGTGGGCTCTGCACCTCTGCTGTGTTGCATTCCAGTAATTAGCGACTGGTTTGTTGAGGCGCACAGCTGGGGTGCATCCCGATGATTACCTTCTCCTCCTTATATAAACCTCTGGCAGACGCTCCGTCTTGGCCGGAACATTAACTATGTACCGCGTAACATACATGTTGGTAGAATGCTACGCTGACAGACACTGTGCGTTTTGGCTTGACTCTATCACACTACATATGCGCTACACTACACTACATGTATACTATACTTTCCCATGTTATGTTCTTTTGATACTCTGTGTTCTTTTTATTTACCAGCAACCGTCATGTTTTCCCCCTAGCACCTGGGTCTGCAAACTTGAGTCCAACCTCAGTCCTCCCTCACCCTCCTGGTGAGGGGGACTACCATAACAGAAAAAAATTAATTTGGTCACTATTGACATTTTTTGAAACCCTGAAGCTCGTGCAGCAAATCAGCCTTTCCTCCAAACCACAGTATAGTATGTGATCTCAGTTATAGGCCTATCTGTGCGAGCGCACACACATCCCCCCACCCCCTCCTCCTCTCCCGTTTCGTAACCAGATATGGTGGTTCTGGTCACTGCTTCTGCTCTGCAAGATGTTTATGAGTTTTCAAGTTTTTGAAGCCACATAAGGTCAAACTGCAGCTCCAGCTTAGTGGAACAGGAAGACGAAAGACTTTCTTATAGCTGTACTTTACGTAGCCTGTGGTCTCCTCCACATGTCATTTTTTCCACCTTTCCAAAAAAAAAACAAAAAAACATCTGACATAGGAATTCAAATTCTTCTGTGTGGCAGCAGTTGAGAGTAATTTTTCAACCATTGCACATGATTCTAAATACTCGGTTTGTCAGGGACAGGAGGAAAACACAGTGAACGAAAGGGACATAGGGTTGCAATGAAACAAGTTTCCTGTCTTTACGTGTGCATGTTTTTACTTTAGAATGTCTGAACAAATCATAAGTACCTATGAACGATTAATACAGCCATGCAAGAGCATATCACTGTGATGCAAAGTAACTGAGATGAAGATCAAGTTCAACCTGACAGATGTGACAGATGTGACAACCGATGCAATCTGCAGAGAATGAGCACTGCGGGTGGTGAGTCGGCTGAGTGTGGACACAGGTCCTTACCCAGGGAGGCAAATCCGTTTTGGATCTGAAAGCCTTTTCAGTGGTGAATTCCTTCTCGTTGTCCAGAAGGTACATGGCAGACTCGAGCCTCATCGCTTTCTCCAGTCGACTGTGTTTCCATCCAGTGTAGATCATCAGACCAAGCAGGACAACGGCGATGCTGAAGCCATAGTACCCGGCCAGATACACCGGTAGAAGCGCACCCAGGTATTTTCCAAATGACCACAGCACACTCACTGCGCGTTCACCGGGGGTCTGGCTCGATGAGGCCGGGGCCGGGTCTGCATCCACTGTGCCTGCGCTCATGCCCGGCTCTGAGTTTGCGGTTGGCATAGCAGGATCCGTTTGACTTCACTGATTCGATCAAGCTTCCAGCTTCTCTGCTTCTGCGACCGACAGGTAAGCGCCAGTGAAGACTTAGCGCCGATTTATTCTAGAAACCATCGGTAAGTAATCGATAAACTGCTGGATTCGCTCAGTTAAATCATGTTCGCGATTTGCCCTTCGCCGCGCTTGCAGGGCACTAAAATGAGCTATTCCGTGTTTCATTTACTACGTGTAAAGCCTCTCTCACGACAGGGCAAGCAAAAACCATGGGGAGGGCGGGCTCTGCTTCAAGCCGTCCTTCACACGAAATCCAGTGGAAACCTAAAGTATAATTAAATTTGCGTCTTACACTGACCCGTATGACGCACGTATTACAGCCTATGTGCAAAGCACGAATGTGCATTTTAACGGGGGGGCAAGATAGAGGTCAGAGTAACATCATCAGATATAAACTAAATGAAGCACTACAACCAAAATACTTGTAATTACACCAAGGCAGTTCTGCCCTTTATCCGTTTGACATAACAGGAGTAAATGTGCATGCGCAAGCGCTCATCTCCACTGCAGCAGCTTCTCCATCTGTCCACCACAGCGCCAACAGGTTCGCTGACAGAAAGCTGCTGCCTTGGAGGTGCACGTGTGTTTACTTTTTACAATTGTCAGAGTGAGCGGTGACGTGTCCTGGATGTGGGCCAGTATATGCACACCCGTCAAATGCAAATAACCTGAACTCTTTTTCCCTGTCTAATGTAGAATTTGTCATCCAGGTGCGGTTTGTCTTCTGGTTTTCCTCGTGTTTCACATTAATATCTTCATTCACAGTGTTTTGTTAACTCCAACAGACCAGGGTTAAATTGCTCCTTGGTTGCCATGATATTGCCAAGTAGCTGAATATTTGCTCAGAGGGTGAAGATGTTTATTATGTAAACAGCTGCATGGGCATTATTCAGCCAGTGGGCCTCAGAGCGCCATCTGGTGGGCTAACGGAGTAGTACTGCATTTATTATTATTGTTATTTATAAAGCTACGTATTTACTAAATATGCTCACTAAAAACATCAAATTAAAATGCACAATTTCTATCATCAGTTACATCTGACTATCACAACACCACTTATGACAGAAAGGGACGAATGTGTTTTGCGGCTGTTAGCTAGCTAACCAGGCGACTTCCTGCACCAATAAATGCTCCAAAGTATGTGGTGAGGAAATATGACCCTGAATACATTAAATATATACACTGAATAGATTATTTTATGTTTTTTTTCTCATTTATTTGACAAGATGGTCCTCTGAAATTGTTTTAACAATCAATCTTGAGCCTTAAGTTACAAAATGTTGAGAACTTATGTCCTATAGGACTGTTTATGTATAGGCCTATGCTATAGCCTGATGTTCCTAGAATGTGCACTACAACAATTGTGTAGGCTATACGGAGACTAATGTGCATAGAAAACAACTGAAATAAGTTTGTTTGACATTCACACATCTGTTCTTACAGAAAACTGTTCTCTCTATAGGCCTTATAATGTAGGCTACTATGTGTTTGTTTTGAAGCTATTCCTTTCTTTGTATTAAGCAGCTGTGTTTTTAAAATTGTTATTGTAGATCTCATAACAGTTTTGTGCTGAATTTTGACCTCAAGCTTATCAAATGTCTGTTCTGTTGGTATAGCAAATCTCCAAACTGGTATTATCTTGTCTTGGTATCTACCTTGTCTCTCTGGGTTGTAACTGTGTTCATTAAAAAATACTGATGTTTCCTTACAAGAAAGAAAAAGAGAATCGTCCTCATTCTGGTCTTCTCAGGCCCGCATCTTACAAAACACAGTATTTTCAGCACACTGAAGAACATTTTAAGCAAAAGAAGTTATCTTTGATGAGTTTTTTCTTCACCCCAGATGTAACAGCTGTATTGTTTGCAATAGTTATGTACTGATATATTCTGCCAATTCAAAAGCAATAATCTCACTTTACTGGACAAAGCAGCCATGACCACATTTTTGCCATCAATACACTATGCTATTTGTTTGATAATATGTTCTAATTTTTACAGATTTGTTTCCATTATCTGCAGTAAAATCATGGAAAATGTGGCTGTTGTGATGGAAATCTGTACCAATCACCAAAATGACCTCCAATACAACTATAACGCACATTTGTTAGCAAGGAACAACAAGCACATATTAACAAACATCCACATCACTGCATCAATTTAACTGGTGAAAACAGCAGTTTTGTTTTCCAGCAGGGAGAAGCAGAAGTAGCAGTCACAAGATGATGAGTCTTATCTATGCAGTGGAAATGACACAGTAGGCTACAGGCCAAGCGCAGGAAGTAGCAGTCACAAGATGATGAGTCTGCTACAGGCCAAGCGCAAAATCAACAGTTATTTTTTAACTGGGTCTTGTGTTGATCAGATGGCACAGTTTGGCTTTGCCAATACAGTCACGTGGACTTATAATCAACAGTGAGCAAATGTATTTATTACTCCTGCTTGAAGTACTTCTGCACTATAGATTACAGGAGAAGCTGTTAATTTAATGGACAAGGAAATAACTTGGCTCTTGCTTTGTGTTATGTATAAATGTGTAACTATTTGTTTGGAAGAACAGACATTACTGGTATTCAGAATGGTGATGACTTTGTACAGCATGGTTTTCAGTCCTGTGAATCAACGTTCATGCTTAAATATTTAATGTTAAAATTACTACACACTTAACATGCCACATTACTTGAGGAAAACTGACTTCCCGTACCCTCACCATACCAATACTGTATATGTAGGCCTGCTGTTTTCTGGCCAGAACATAAACCATGCCATCTGCTGAACATATTCAGTGACTGCAACTGAAAACAGCAGAGAATTTATATGTTCATTTGCATGTTTCTCAGTTACCATTAAGGAGAAAATGCAGCACAGAAAGTTTGGCTTTGAAAAGCAAGACTAAGACTTGGAATCATTGTGCCAACATTAGTCCTTTTACCAGAGAGAGTTAAGTAAATAATATAGATTTGTTACAATTTACACTTGGCCATGCTTTATTAGATCAATTTATGCACCAACTAACCAACCTTTGTGCCATGCAAACATAAGAATCCTGCTTCCACTGATCAGGACAGAGTCAGCACTGTTTGGTTGTTCCCTTTAAGTTACACCATCTATCTGACCTGGACTTAATCCTACAGTTAGAGTCAGTAATAAGAGGCACGTGAATCTCTGCCAGCACAAGCTCAATTCAGCATCACCAGGACACTTAAATAAACACAAGAATCGTAACTCAAGTTAGACATAGAAAACGTTACAACACATGGACACCCCAGTCATTTCTTATCATTAGGCCTCATTATATTTTGGGAGTCGCTTTTGGCCTGTTCAGAAAATGTAGTGTAGAGTAGTTTGCATTGTTTTGTTTTACTGTGCCATGATTCTTACTTGTGCCTTGAATGGGAAAGCATGCTTTGTGATTCATGGGATATAATGCATTATACATCACCTCATTCTGACAGCATTATTAACTTTACAGCTTCAGCTTGGGGTATAACTGCAAATGGATTAGAAAATGACATTGTAGGAGGTAACGACAGGGACACTATGCTCTCTAATAAGGTTTTCCAAAAACAGCCTGATTATAATTCACCTTAGTTAAGGTCAGGATGAATTATTGAAGTTTAAGGGTAAAAACAAGATAAAGTGCTGGTGAGTTGTTTGCCCTGAATGTGCTCTGTACAATGGTTACATCACTCACACACTCACTCAAGTCATGGGATGTGGAGAGAACCTATGTTTTCTAATAGCAACTTGCCCACAACTTTCTGAGAAACACTTATGCAATCCAGTCAGGTTAAAAATGCTCACACCAAGTCACTGAATAGACATGGAACATCATTCGTTAGAACTCAAATCATTTTGCATCGTAAAAGTTGAAAACCTCTATTCAAGATGTAATTGGCTCCAGACATCTTTCTCCCAGGCATCACACATGAATGCATTTGGGATGTAGCATCTAAACAAGACTGATCAGAAGGTTTCACAAAATTATGAGTAATGCTCTGTGCCATGTCTGATCTTGGTGGATGAAACTAGAGCCACACCATTTGTTAGTTGCAGCAAAGTGACAATGCAGCACTAGTGAGTACTGCATTATTACAACTACTGTAGTTTTTGCACCAATGTAATGAAAGCTTTAGCTAGTAAAGGTTACAGCCTGACATTCAAAATGCCTCAGCAGCATTAGGTGGTTCTATTAGCTCAACTTTGACCATCTACAACCTTTACAAAATTTTAGTGAGGCATTCATAATAATCCAAACTGACATTAACAATTGCTCTACTGAATGCAAGTCATAAGCCATGATGGCAAACAATAAGAGGATCCTAAAACTAAAGCAGCTCAATTTTTAATTATTTACACCTGAACTTCTCATACTGTTATATCAAAATGTTCTCATGAAAACTACCCACTTCAACAGTTCAACCAGCAGAGATCACTTTGTGAAAGCTGTTTAATCACTAGACCCATCACAGGAATACTTGGGAAATGAAAGATTATATAATTTGAAAGGAAACAGGTAATAAATAAGATTTGAAAATTCTTTTTTTTAAAGCAAAACCTTTAATCACAGTATTAATAAAACAAATGATAAAAGTTGAGGAATTAAGAGTCCAGGATGTCCCAGAGGAAAAGTCTGAAACCCAGCAGGTCTTGAATGAGCGGCACCAGTATGCATCAGCTGCTGCAACTCCACTGCCTCAGGTCGATATGGACTCGGACTTGACACTGGGAGGGTCCTGGGGTCTCCAGCTGTGCTCACTGGTGTGGTTGTTATCAACATGTGATGTCACAGCCATGGCGAAGAGGACCGTTTACTTAGACCTCTGCCTCATCTTTCTCCTTTTGCGCTTCAGCCTATAATAATATTCAGGTACAGGAAAAGACTTGAGCTCTAAGCCTATAGCAATAATTCGTAATGACATTTAAAGCACCTTATATGAAATTGACTAAATTAATCAAGAGAAAATAATTCAGTCACTACATGTGACGCTTGCACACTAATAGATACACTTAGGTCGGAAAGTGAAATACATTTAAGGCTCGTGTAAACTTTCCTGGTAAGGTTGTTTTTTGTAAACTAAAGTCAATACTTAAGTTACCCTGCTGTTTACCATGCGCTATACACAACTTACCTGCGCATGCGCTTCTTTCTCCACTGCGGAAAAACAAAGAATTAAATTACTTTCTAATTTTATTACGCACTTCTAGAAACATGCTCAAGCATAAACTGAAACAGGCCATACTTCAAAAAGTACAAACTCCACAGTCAAAAGACAACGAATGTGCTGGGGCAAACACTGCTACTCAAACTTGCTAACTAGCAAGCAAATGTTAGCATTATTGAAAACTATGGTTATTGGCTAACAGAGATTAAAAACACAAACCTTAGCTCTCATGTCGAAGCGGGAAAGCTGTAAACACAAGAGCAAATGTACAGGATTAGTTCGATTGGTTTAAAAAGATGATGATTAAATTGGATTCAAACACCAACAACTACATACGCACGAACCTACCGCTAATTTATCGTCTCCGCGAAAGACGTCATATCTCGACGACGACAAATTTGGGTGCGTTGGTTCAAACGTCACCGTGATAGGACCGTAGTGAACTATGGGAAATTGAGTTTTATAGTAAACAAAACAAAAAAAACGGCGATGTACAGTATCAAGTCATTGCTACCACGTTTGAAGGCTTTAAAGTCCATTGTTCCAGTTTTTTATTACTTGAGCAGATCTCGGGAGTAAGGTAGGTGGATTGACATTGATATGAATTTTGGTGTAACAGGACCACTCAAGACATTTTTAGACTCAAAACTCCCAATACTAAAACTTGAGCATTTGTTCCCTAAATTTACATTCCCATCAGCTGTGAGTGAAATATCTTTCATGTTGAAAAATAACATTACCATAAATGAAGCTACCTGAATGAAAAAATATGAAGTGCCCAAGCGTGATGGATAGGGGTGCACTGTATTTTATTTTAAAATTCAGGCTAGTCCTTTGAGTATAATATGGTATAATTAAATATATTAGCTGAACATAGGCTTGCATCCAAATGGTTTGGTGGCTGCAGTTCTCACACAAGCACAATCAGACTTCAATGAATGAGAGTAAAAATACTCAAGAATGGCAATTCTTGAACAATTTAAGACATAGTTACTCTTTAATGTTAAAAACCATGGCGCACACACTTTTCATTCACCAGAACAATCATCTGAATACACAGAGCTCAAAAATGATGTCAGGTGGCTTTTAATGTTTCCAAAAATAGTCTCTGAAACTGGGATTTGTTTTACAAAGGCATCCATATATTTAACAGGTATGGAATTCTTATGTAAACACAGACTGTCGGGCTTAGCAGTGGCACCAGAAGACTGAATGCTGAACCCTTGGCAGGAGTTAGACCATCCACAACTTAAAAAAAAAAAAAAAAAAAAAAAAAAAAAATTGTTTGCAATTTACTAGTTAAATTACTCAAATGGTAGGTCAATGGTAGGTCTTAAAATGACAGCTTGTTAGCCAAGTAGCCTGCAGTAGATGCCTAGAAGTATACACAAAGTACTAGTAGACATAACTAAGCAAGAGCAAGATAAATGCTGTAATTATGCTGAACTCAGCAGTAATGATGACCAATAATTTCATGCTTTAAACTGTGTGAACATCATGACATCATGTGGGTGTTTACACATTTCTGCCCATGACAAGTTAACATTCATTTCAAAAGCATGGCTTCAGGTTTATGACCTCAAGGAAGTTATCAAAGAGCCAAACGATTACATTGACACAGTACTGTGTATTCATCATCCTTGGCTGCTCTGTCAGACTCATTTTCCAAATCTTTTACTACAGTTATTGTGGAAAAAGGGACGAAGGCTCAAGGACAGTCAAACGTTCCAGTGAGTATAAGCACTTGCACAAAATATCCTCTCTCGCAGAAGAACTGTGTCCACTGTTTAAGAGAATGAGGCTGTCTCATGGACAGTGAGATTTGCTAGGGACATGTGTGTGTGTTTTATGTGGAGCAACAGATTTTAGGAGCAGCATCATCCCAGACTGACATCAGTTAGATTCTGAGGTATTCACAGCAGCTATGGCTGCAAGTGCCTCACACAGCTGGGACAGAAGGATCGGTGACGTCTGTTCTTTGGGCCGTCAGATGTCTGTCAGAATTTCTTGGACAGAGAATCTATTCTGCAGCTTCGGTCTCCGTTGTCTGTCCTGCTGCACTCTCAGCAGTCTTTGAAGCCTTTAAAAAGAAAAGACTGAATTTAGAGAAATCGTTTAGTCTGTGTTTTTATTTCATCAAACATGCTGCCCTGTAACTCACCTTCTTTTTCTTCTTCTTCTGAGTCTTACGGCTGGCTGAGGTAAACAAAACAGCCTTTATTTGGGGGTGGGAAAAAAAAAATCAAAATAAAAATGACTTTCATAACCTCTGGAGGTTCAACACACAATATGTCAAAACATAATAGCTTTGAAAATACAAGGCCAGCTAACAACATACTATAGCAGTTGCATTAACCTCATCCTTTCCTCTCAGAAGAGAGTGCAAAACATTTTACCTTCAGCTCTGGGTCCTCCACCTCATGCTCAGACTTGTAGAGTTCTGGCTCAAAGAGGCTGTTGGTGATTCGCAGGGGTCCGTTGGCCATGAGCAGCAAGGTGAACTTGAACTGGGCTACAAATTCACCTGAACGCAGACACAGAAAGTTGCATTAAACATTTCTACATGGTAAACAGCTTGGCATGGACTTTATAGTGCCGTTATTTATCTGATTCAAGTATAGAGTCAAAAATAAGCCAGCAAATACACAACACAAAAGTCTGCACTGCTGAAGTTTTGTATGCCACAGGTAACAGTGAGAACATGAAACACTCTCCAGGAAGTCCAGTTTGAACAATAAATCAGTGAGTTTCGACACTTACAGGACAATGACCAGAGTTTTTAAGAATATGAGACAGGATTTGACAACTCCGGAAAGTTTTCCAGGCACCAATTTTATATAGTACGCTTTGTAAAGTGATGTGTACTTGGGCACATTTGACAGACCCTTGCAATATTGTCCCAGATGAAAGTGCGGTGTCTGTCCTTTAGTTGACCAAGAAAAAAAAAAAAAAAAAAAATTTCTTTGTTCTAGGTCGCGCTCACACTGGATTGACAAAGAAAACAGACCTGGCTATGTGATCAATTAGACAAAATTCTATTCAGAAGAGAAACTAAATGTGGGAAAAAACTAGGGCTGCAGTGATTAGTTGATCAATCAGTCGACAAAAAGACAACTGTTTAAACAGTTAAATTTGTCATTTTTAAACAGAGATGTCAAACATTTGCTGGTTTCAGCTTCTCAAATGAGAGGCTGTTCATAGCCACACATGATGATAAACTGAATGCATTTGGGTTTTGGACAGTTGCCTCGTCATCACCTGGGGCTGTGGGAGACTACAGAAGGTATTTTTCACACTACCCATGACATGACATTTTGAAGTACCTGAGAAGTCTTCTGGCTACTGAGAAACCTTCATACCTCCCTTTATTTTGTTCCCATATAATACAAACCATCAAGAATTTTAATGGGAAGTAAAGCCCTTAATTACACCTCTGAGTGTTCCACTCACCCTCTTTCTCATGCAGCACACAGAATGGCTGCAGCAGCTCATGCTTGGCACACTCCACCACACCCAACCTGGCCTTGCCTTCATCCTCGAATGCTCTGAGGAGATAAGCAAAGGAGAAGCGAGGGGGTGAAACTTTGGATATGATTAAGTGAAAAGGAAAAAAATATTTGGAAATACAAGCTACTACTACCTCAGAGTGAAAGGCATTGTATCAAAGCGTCTCTCCATTTCACTGAAGAATGTCCGAGACGTCTTCATCTTCAAGCCATACACCTTGTTGGGGTCTCGTTTGTAAACAGTGGTCCTCTGACCTCCATCCTTTGCCTAATCCACCAAACAGAACTTATGTAATTAAATCCTTGTCTTTATGGAATTTTCAAAATGAAGGTGGAGGGGAAAAAAAAAACAATTCTACACCAAATTTCCTCTTACCTTCCCCTCTCCAGTGCTGATAAGCACATCAACTGCATATACCTCATGCACCTCAAACTCAGCCTTCTCATGGTCCTTTCTACATAAACAGAGTGACAGGTTCATCCACCTGAGAAAAAGGATCACCCACCAGGTCACTGATAATAAACGCTTGCTGAGTGAACTCACTTTTGCTGGTCTGTTGGGTTTTGGATGATGGTTTTCTCCCCATCAATCACATGCTGTTTGAGCTGATGGGACAGCATGCCTGTATACAATGAAAGAATAAACTGCATGTCAAAGAATTTCAGACAAACATTTGGATGATACAGCTTGAAGGTGCCAAATGTTCACACCCACCCTCAATAGGGGAGCACTTGAATGACTTTGCGATCTTGTTCCAGGCTTCTGTGACCTGTGTGTTCTGACAGAAGAGACACAGTGACAAATATCCAATGAGTTGTGAACAGTGGTGTTTCTAGTCAAATCAGCAGTGAAGGTCACGGTTGTGTTACCTGGTTTCCTGGCTTGACAAGACGCAGAGCAGCCTCAGCACAGAGGTGAGCTGCTTTGATAACATCAGCCTTCCTCCCTGTCACTGGGTTGTCCTGCAGTAACACAAGAGATCAGGTTAAAGTATTACAAGCCGTTAATTGCATAACTACCAAAAGTAATCAAATACATTACAACAACACAACCGACTATTGTGAACGTTACAGCTCAGGCGCCATTTATTTCGACAGTGGTGACATACCTTGGTCACCCCAACAACAAAGCTGTGAGCCACATTTGAGATGAAGCCATCAACATGCACACCCAGGTCACTGCACATGAACAGAACAAGAAAACATGGGATTTATAAAACTAATGCACTGCAGTTATAATATATAGTACAACTTATCTAGTGTACAGGACTGACATAAATAAACTCGGCAGCTTACATCTTGACCAGGTCCCCGTCCTTCAGTATGACATCAGGGTCACTCTTCAGAGGTGAGTAATGGCATACACAGTTGTTAACTGACACACAAGTAGGAAAAGCGATACCTGAGAAAGAGAGGGCATGAATGAGGGAGCGCTGGGTCAGATACGTCGACAGAAACCTCTGAAATGCAACAAAAGACCTACCTTTCTTCATGTCTTTTTCCTTCTTGAAGATTTTCCCAGTCTCTGCCATGATGAAGGCATCTCCCTTTTCACACAGGCTGAGCACAGAGACTCCAGCCATAGCTGCCACAGCTACAGCCTTCAGGGCCTCTGCAGGACAAGAGATAAAAAGAGCCATGATGTTCTTTGGATCTGTTGATTCTGTCGGGTGTCAACTGATTTGACACATCTGCAAAAGTTACTGAGCTACATCCTGAAGAAAACCATTAATACTGAAACATGAATCATTTTCAAAACTAATAATGATATCAACATTATTCCCAGTGCTAGGGATAGGTTTTCATGGCCAAAGAATCATTTCAGGAGGGTCAAACTACCATGGGAGCATTCCTTTAGGTGTAACGGCATCATGGGAACAGTGAGGTGCCTCGGCAGAGGTTTGTACGCTCTGAGTGCTGTTTCTGATTAAATTAGCCAGGCTGCCACAACTGTGGACAGATGGGATGGATAGTTTGGTCAACATTAATGACAATAACTCTTCTTCAGTGTTCAAGGTCACACTGACATCACTTGTTGACAGTAAATTACACTAAACAAGTTAAAGATGCAGCTCTGTGGTAGACTGGTGACCTGTTCAAGGTGCATCTCACCTCTAGCCCAGTGTCAGCTGGGACTGGCTCCAGGCCCTGCAACCCTCTTCAGGAAAACCAGTAGAGATAATGAATGGAAGCTAAACAAGTCAGTGAGGTCATCTTCATCTTTCTGCTTTTCTTTCTTACATTATGGAAAACTGAAAGTTTGTGTGTTTTGGACATTTTATGACACCATCTTTCTGCTCTAGGATATTGTGACCAAATAATTGCTGAGAATATATTGTCAGATTAATAGATAATAAAAACTATAGCTACTTACACATGAATTGTTTTGAAAGGACAATATATCGTAAAGTTTTAGTATTCTAAGGCAGCCTTGTAGCAGGCAGGTGATAAACATACTCCTTTGCAGTACTAATACACTACCTGAAATTCATTTAGTTCAAATTAATGACGGTTTTATTAAACTTTACATAGGTAGCTGTTCAATGTCCGGAATGACAAACACACACAAATATATGGTGTTTGTGCATGTCCGTTTAAATAATATATTTGCGTCAACTACAAGTAATAACAGCACGTTCATTTTGCCATTCATGTTGGTGACTTGTGTTTCAGCCTTCAAACTACAGTATAAATTGAAAAGTGGGATACAGTGTTCGCAACAACCCCATTCAGTTTTTGCACTTGTCATTGTTATCTGCTACGCTAGCGGAGCTAGCTAACGCCTGCTAGCAAGACAGTTAAGCTATAGAGCAATTTAGCTCTCCGGGCTAATGTGACAGCTACGTGACGTGAAACAAATACAGGCGGCTATAAAGAAAAGCTCTGTCTAAATATTTACAAGATCCATATTTTATTTGTTTTAAACATCGGCTGAATTTCTGCCATGACCTACAATTGCTAGTGCTGTGGCACATGGCACAGCTGCTACCTGGGAATGACTAGCTGAGCTGACACTGCTAGCTAACATTAGACCCTGATACTTATAGACTAGTAAACGGCACTGCAGTTCACTTACGATTCGCAATCTCGGCTCCCATCTTATACTTTGTAACCACCAAGTCGTCAGCGATGGTCTGCTCCTGTGTCTCGTCATCTCCAGACATGTTGGCAGTGTATCCGCGAACTCAGAGTAACTTATACCCCGGCGATTCTCAGCCGTTCACAAAATAGACCACGCTGCTCTCCGCCCGACTTCGCCCGGTAGCCTCTGATCACTAGATCCCGCCTGCTGCCAAAGAGACAGTCCGCAGTCAAGATAGTTCTGCCCCAGCCTGGTGCGTTGACTGTGGGGCTGCAAGTAATTACTTTCATTGTTGATCTGTGGATAATTGCTCGATGAATTATTTTGTATATAAATTGTCATTAACTAAGTTACCCAGGCTATAAGATATCACACTTATCACACTCCTTTTTATAAGGCCCTTATGAAAAGGCAGGTATGATAAGATAGTGGCCTATAACATGTTAGGCCATGAAAATTAGCAATGATGGAAAGTAACTACACACATTTACTCGAGTAGGATGCTGTAGCTTAGGCTATTCATAGGCTACATTAAAGAAGAAAATAGGTTTTACTCTTGGCTAGGCTTATCTAATAACTTTACACATTTATGCATAGCCAATAAAATAGGCAGTATTTAAAAAAGACTAAATAGTCTATACTAAGAGATTAAAATGCTTTATTTCATAGTAGAGCATTTCCTGTATTCATTATACAGCATCACAAAGGTGAGGAATAGGCCTAGGCCTACCCACTTTAAAAATCATTTTAATTAATCAATTTTAAATAATTTTAAAAATAATTTTAAGGTTTGGAGTGGTTGGATAAATATGGAAGAGGATTAGCACTACTATGAAAATAAATTTGACTTTTTTCTCCAAAGTCAGAACTCAGTTTTTACAGTGGTCCTAATCCTCCTTAGTAGACAAAGGTGAAGGTGTCACTGTGTCTTTTGGGCAGGCTAAACTGTGACATTTGTCAGCAATTTTTACAAACCACACAATAAATTGATTAAAAATAATAATAATATTTTTAAAAATAAGCAAAATTGATCCATCCCAATTTTATTTCATTTATGAGGCTTTCAGAAGCCATAATGAGGAGCAGATAAGACAGAGGAAGACAGTAAACAGATGTATTCTAAATTTGTGTTATTTGTTTGTTTATATGTTTCAGAGGTGCTATTAAGGACAAAATATAAATAATGAAGAGTTGATAATATAAAAATATGGACATAAAATGCAGCCTAGGCTACCAAAGTAGAGACTGTATTGTTTTATGAGGCACACAATGTAAAAAAAAAAAGTTTGCACTACACAAATCAATGACACAAATGCCTGGATAATTGCAAAATAATTTGTTTATTTAACAGTTCATGTTGTAATAAACTGTACATAAAGACAGCTCTAAGACTTGTGACTTGAACTCCTTGCTCCTTAATGCATCATGTGATGCCAGGTAAACTTTATATGCTTGTTGTTGCCGGGCCACATTTTGCCAGCTATAACAATTATTTTCTTCATAAGCATTTATTTCCTGCACCATAAAACTGTGAAATTAAATTCAAATATGCATTTAGGCTACTGCAGCTTGTTGGTTGCTGTAAAACACCCCCCAAATATATGACGGGAACTACGGCAACTGCAACAATTACTGTGTCCATGTCCCTGTCCACATTATTAGGTGTGTACAGCATCTGGATTGAGGAACAGTCTGCTGTGCCAATAGTCTGGGTTGTCAAATGATGTGTTGCTGCCAGGCTCCCCTATGCCAGCACACACCTTGATGTATCCCCCGATCCCTGCACACCTGCCACTGCCTACCTCCTCAGAAACAGCCCTCCCCTTCGCCAGGAGGTTCTGGTAGTCTGCCTGCTCCCACCCACTGGGCACCACACCAAATCTGGTCATCTCCTCATACTCCTCCCCAATTTCTTCCCCAGCTGTGAGCACATCTGGTCTGGGTATACCCACACCATTCAGATTCCCCCGAAGTGTGGGTTGTTTGTTTGTGTTGTGGTACTTCTCATCTTTCTCTTCCTCCTTGTGCTCATTTTTCAGCACCTCCGCTATTTTTTCTGTTTCCTCTGTCTCCACAGCACTCTTTGCAGATGTTTCACTCCCACAGCTCTCCCATGCAGGATCCTCTTTCTCCGTAGAGTTGGATCGCCTGATATCCATGTATTCATACCTGCCTACCCCCTGGGCTGCCTCTCCTGAATCTTCCACATCTCTGGTCCCACTCTCAGAGTCCCCAGGTAGCTGATGCTTCTCTGTGGAGTCTCCTTGCTCTGCTGCAGTTCCCTCACAATCCTCATCTACTTGCTTAATCTTTACAGCTGTAAATGGTGTCAGTGTTTCTTCATCTGCTGTGTTCTCTATAGGTAATGAAACCATGAACGTTGGAGAAGGCAAAGGTGAAATTGCCACTGAAGGGGCAGCTTCCTGTAATGAGATGCCTCTGACTAAGCAAGGAGGAGACCCTTTGGTCATGATTTCATACTCTTGGGATGGATTTATGACCATGAGAGACCGATTGTTCTTTAGTCTTGAGTTTCTTTGTACAGAATGAGATTCTATAGAGACTGTGAGCCATGAGAGAAAGTGTAGAAGGAAGAAGATCAGGAAAGAAGCTGTGATTACATGTTGTTTATCCTTTCAGTTACAAGTTACTTTTAAAAGGTAACAAAATAGAAAAGTAAAAATGGGGGGGGGAGTATTTTAGTACTTGTAACATACCTCCTTCTGGAGTACCAGCTGATCCAGGTAGGACATAGCCATAGTGGTCCACCTCCTCCTCTTCCTCTGCTGTCCACACCTTATATGATGGTGGACTTGACGCTGTTGAAAGCTTCCTGTGTCGGCCAATGAATATACAAGGATTACCCCTCTCGGAGCCAAATCTGGCCCTGTGAAGACTCCCAGTCCTCAAACCTTCCTCACACAGCTCTGCGTCTCTGCCATTCCCCCTGACCTCTGACCTCTCAGGCAGCGTTCGCACTGAGCTCAAACGAGATCTCTGAAACCACAGCTGAGACAGAACAGAAACACATTTGCACCCTCTGAAACAAATGCTGGTTACGTTAGTCTTAGAGGGTGGGAATGAATTTGTTTTCATGCATTTGTGTGAACGTGTGTCTACAACACCTGGCGGACGCTGTCCACAGGGCTCAGGTTCATTTGCTGGTATCCCAGAAGTCCAACCTGAGAGTTGCCGCTCTACAATTCAGGGAAGAAAGGGTGTTATATACTGGTTTATTTGCCTCTGATCTAGGGACAATGGTCCTTAAAGATGTACAATGTGTGGGTACCCTGTAAGAATTAATCTGTGATCGAGACAGACTCCAAGATGGTGAGTGAAAGGGAGGAGTAGCCAAAACATCATCCAATCCCTCCTCATCTTGGTCTTCTAAATCTTCATCCAGTAGCCCTCGTTCTGATTGTCTTCTATGAATTTCTCCTGAGGCTGCTTCTCCTCCTTCTCCTACCTACAAAATAACACGTGCATACAGGCTTTAAGGCTTGAGGCAGCAGCCAGTGGACTAAGCTGCAAATTTAATCCACTGTAGTGCTGGAATGTAACTAAGTACATTTACTTGACAGCTGATCAGCGAGAATATTTTATTTTGAAGGTGTCACTTTTGTTTAACAAATCAAGCATACCATAAATCAGTCAAAATATTCCTCTGTAGTGTTGTTATTTTTACTTAAGTAAATGATCTGGCTGCCTCACCTTGATGACAAGATATCTAGGTGGGTCTCTTGCCATCCGAGTAAAGTCACTTGCCAGCTCTTTGAAGGTCGGCCTTATATTTTCATCAATCATCCAACCTATAGAGACAAAGTACTTTTTTTTTTCAGATCAAGCATGCATGCCTTTGTGTGTTTGTGCATACTGCTGCATTGTTTTATCACACTCACATTTTACCATGACCATGTAAACATCTATAGTACAGATATGGGGCTGTGACAAACGCTCGCCCTTCTCCAGCAAACTTGGCACTTCCTGTGGCTGCACAAATGCATATGGCTCCGCCCCAAATGACATCATCTCCCACACAGTAACCCCTGTCCAACAGAAGAGACGACATACTGTATCTAACCTCCATCTACCTTCACATTATTTATTGTTACACACTGTATAGCACCACACATACTCACACAGCCACTTACCGTAACTCCAGACATCACTTTGATGAGTGTATCTTTGAAACAAGATGCTCTCAAGTGCCATCCACTTTATGGGTGTCTGGATTAACAGACACATTTTAGACAGGCCACACAAACTTATTCCATTACAGGAGAAGACAGTGAAAACCTCTGTGACTAAAACTGAAAGTGTGTCTTAGGTTAAATGAGTCATAACAACCTTGGTGTCAGTGTAGACGTATTTCTTGTCATCAGGATAAAGGAGGTCTGCAACACCATAGTCAGCGATCTGGACCTGGTAGTCGTTCTTCAGCAGGAAAAAAAATTCCTGTGGACCATACAGTGCTCCTCCAGGTAGTACATGCCCTGAGACACATATACGTACACTTTATATGTATGCACTGACAGCTTGTTTGAAATTTTTGTTCCAGCTGACATGTCATTCAAGCTGCACTCACTTTAGCAATCTGCACACACCAGTTTAGCAGGCGCTGGGGGTCCAGGCTGTTCTTGTGCTGTCTGATGTGCTCCAGTAAGGAGCCCTGTGAACTGAGCTGGGTCACCAGTTGCAGACTGGCGCCTGGACAGATGCCCAGCAGCCTAACAATGTAGGGGTGGTCCAGGCTGCCCATGGACAGCATATGCTACACACAGAACCAGATGACAAAATACAGTGAACTTTTTAAGATACCTATATTGAATTTATGTATTTTGTATGAAAAAAATGTTTTTAAATAAGTGTAAATATCTAACCATTTGTATAAACCTTCTCAACATACTCTATACTGCACGTCACATTATTTGCTATGTTTTTTTTCAGGAGTGTAAGAGGGTCTGATTCTCACATCAGTGATCTCAGTGAAGGTCTGTCGGCCTGAGCTATCCTGGATGGTCTTAATGGCCACAGGGATCTTCACTGTATCTCCTTCTGGAGTCCAAAATCCCTTAAACACAAATTAAATGAACACTTGCAGTCACATCACTTCTCACGAGCCTGTGAAACATCTAAGACAAAAATGGTAATAACACACAAATCAGCAAATAATGAGTGAATGTATAGAAAAAGACAGACAGAGGTCAATGAATACCTTGTGCATTGTGCCAAAAACTCCTGAGCCAAGGGCTTTGATTTTTTTCAGCTCTGACTGCCTCAGGATGCGTGTGTGAACTTTGGTACCTTTCTCTCCAGGACCCAGTGGCTCAAAGCTCTGCCAAAAATAACAGTTATTCCCAGATGGCTGTTTTCATGTAGCAGTGAAATCAAATGTAATTTATAGCAGCTCATGAGGTCAGATGGTCTCTAAAGTCTCACCTCTCCACTCTCCAGGTACCTCCTCATGGCTCTCTTCCGACGGATGGCCAGGCCTCGGTGGTACAACACACTCAGGAAAAACAACGCCAGGCAGAAAATCAAGCCAGCAGGGACACCTAAAGCTATACCTGTGATTTGACCGCTACAGAGTGAGGCAGAGAGAGAAGATAGTATGGAAATACAAATTGAAACGGTCAGAAAACAGAGGCCAGAAAAGTTAAAGTGATATGTTGTTATGGTTCAACAATATGCTTTGGCAGAAACTGCAGTTTATCAGCCTGCTCTGTTGAGCAGAGAAGAGGGAAGAGATGAACAGAAACAAAAGGGTAATTTTCTTGATATGATCTGACTTAGTTTTTGTATTTTTTGCTTAACATCCTTTATGAAATGGCTGATTACAATAAATATCTATAAACAAAACCAGTGCTGTGTTTGAAGTGCAGAGGTGCTGGTTCAAATGGAAACACCATCTCGAGCATCACACTGAGCAGCGGTGGGATCAACACACATTGGCCGTGTGGTGCTTTTTATTCACCAGCAGGGAAAACACTCACCTACTAACTGCCAGCCTGGCTGCCCCCAAACAGTTGTTTAATCCTGGGCCTGAGCATCTGAATCAGACAAACACATCATTATTTTCAATTCAATACTGTCCTGCATGTATGGAGATGTATGAAAACACATACAGTGGTGGCAGAAGTACTTAGCTTGTTTACTTCAGAAAACGTATGAATACCACGGTGTGAAAACACTCTGTTAGAAGTACAAGTCCTGCATTCAAATTGTTACTTAAGTAAAAGTATTAGGATAAAATATAAAATATATTTAAAGTACTCATTATGCAGAATGGCACAGTTCACATTAATGTACGTATATCATATTATTGGACTATAATTATTGTGTACCTCACATTTAATCCAGGAACTGGTAAAGGTAGAGCTAATGATAACTACCTTATATGCTTATACTTTGAAGTACTTCGCATACTGATGGGTGATTTGTGAATTTTCCACCAGGGATCAATAAAGTCTTATATTTAATTGAATTAATCTCAGTCTGAAAAGTAACCATTAACTAAAGTTATCAAATATGTGTAGTGAGTACAAAATACATCATTTTTCTGTAAAATGTAATAAAGTTGAAATATTAAGTAGCAGAAAATAAACTTAAATATATTAATTGAATAAATGCACTTCATTACTTTCCACCTCTGAACACACGCACACACACACACACACACACACACACACACACACATACATTAAGTCTGTCTCACCCCTGTGTGCAGTTGTGGTGACATGGTACACAGTGACCATCCCTGTTGGGGTATTTAAAGATCAGCCCCCATTGTTCATCATTGACTCCAGTGGGACAAGAGGACATGCAGAAAGGACCATCTCGAAGATGATCACATTCCACACACTCATCCGCACCCTATCAACAAAAGAGAAAGGAAAGAAAGGAAAATACAGCAGGATTTGCAGCATTGCTCATATTCTTATGTGGTATTTATGAGTATTGGGTATATATATTATAGGTTGGTAAATAGACAGATACGAAGAAAGAGTTCACATGAAGTCACTGGGAAACAGTGTCCCTGTATTATCAAAGGAAGTGATTACCGGCCCAGTACAGCTAACTTTTCGATGCTGAGGCTTACACTCTGGATGACAAGCAATACACTCGCCATCAGGTCCTGCAAATTCTCTTGGAGCTCTAGGGACACAAAATTCAAGAATACAGAGTACAGGAACAGTAAAACTCTCAAAACGCAAACAACATCAGTGTCAAGGGTATAAACTCGTTATCTACTGACCCAGTGTAAAAATTACATTTGTCCACACATGTGCCGTCTCGGCTGTAGTTCTTACAAGAGAGACACTGATCGGGCCCCGGACCCCAACAACCCGAGTCTGAACACAGCTGGTCACACACATGGCCGTCTGCAACTACACACACAGTAATGTAAGAACATCAGGCTGCAGCAACACAACAGTAATTCCTATATTTACTGAATCTAAAAGAGATACAAGAGGATGATGAGGAATCCATTTTTAACAAGATTACGTCTACAGAGAAACTAATAAAAGTCAGTCAGTGTTTAATGCTCCCTTCAGCCGATAACAGTCTGAGATGGGTGTATAGTTTATTCAGGTTACAGACTAACAAGACAAAGAGACAAAATAAATTGAACATTTCCTTTAATATATAGGAGTGTTGCTTTCTGCCAGACCCTGAGCTCACCACACTCTGCAGGTGGCTTGTTACTGTTGTTGAGGTTGTTGTTTCGAACTTGACCTCTGAACAGCTGTGTCCAGTTTACAGTGTGGTAGTAACAGAGGTTGGCATTCTGACCGATGTAGATACTGCCGTGACTGATCTCTCGGAGACAGCGCAGACCCAGTGAGGTCAGAGTGGGGATGTGCATCACCATCAGAGAAAAACGCCTTTGGGTAGACAAAAAGACAAGACGAAAAGAAAAGTATTTAAAACTAATGTCAAAGAATTACTCAGAATTTGTCACTGATTTGCATCTGCAGATTATATTGTACCTCGAAATCTTTGGTATTCCCATATAAAGGGAAATCTTAACAGTTTATTTGTTTTATCAGGTTAATTTATTGTCTTTTATTGATTTAACATCAACAGTAAACAATGCATACAAAGATGCACATCATTTTCAGTTCCAGTAAATATGCCTTACTTGTGAAGCGATCTCCCTTGAATGGTAGTGAGACTCGAAAAAACGGACAGATCGTGTAACTCTTTGGGCCATGACTGAATGCTTAAAATATCTGAGAAGGAAAGACAGTGATAATATGAAAACATGATTTAATATTGTGCCTACTATTATCATTTTAATCTGTAGGAGTAGAATGAAAGAATTTAAAATAATGGTCACCAAAAAGGGAGTAAATAAGTTAAAGCATTATAAAGTATTTACATTTTTTACTTCATTATTCTAAACACACACAACAATGACCAAGCATTGGGATTCATCTGTAATTAACATCAGCAAATATTTCTATGTATAACAAACCTGTTATTTCTCTGACAGTGTGGAACACTTCCAGCTTTTTGGCATCTAGGGGTGGGATCTTATTAAAGTCATCTCTATGAAAAATGAAAACACAGTATGAACCCATGGCCTGTGTGGCACTGCGCTGTGAGATGTTTCAGGCAAGCCAGACAATTACCCAAGAATCCCTAGGACCTGAAAGTGAAGGCTGCCCTGGATCTTGGTGCAGTTGATGAAACTGTCGATGTTGCTGGAGTCCACAGTCTTTCTGTGTTCAGCACCTGTACCTTCACACACTACAGGGATGACCCAACAACATCATTAGCTTTGAAGACTGACAAACCTACAGTAGTGTAATTTGCAGAAAGTCTTTATTAGTGACAACCTTTAGGGCAGAGTCCACTGCAGAGCTCACACTGTCTCTGGCCTTCTCTCTCCACCTCCATCTTGTCTGGAGGGCAGACGCTCACACAGGAGCTGCCATCCACCACAAAATGTGCTGAAAGGACAAAGAAAAGAAAGACAAAGATACATTTCAGAGAGATGGAAACGTGTAAGAAGCAGCATCATGTTTGGCCTGATGCCATCACTTCATGTTATGCTAAGACCAATATGACAAATGTTTGCAATTTTAGGAAGGTTAGTTAAAGTATGTCTGGGGCGGCTGTGGCTCAAGAGGCAGAGCCAACTGGAAGGTCGGTGGTTTGATTCCCATTCTCCCTGGTCCGCATGTCAAAGTGTCCTTGGGCAAGACAGCCCAAGTTGCTTGTGTGTGTAACATACTTGGCCAATAAAAGTGATTATCATTATCATGTTTCACATTGCACTAAAGGTAACGAGAAAATGTGCTGCTACATAAACACTCACTGGGGCACTGAGAGACACAGATGGATCCGTACTGATATTTGGCATTAGGGTTGGTCTCCATTTGAAATTTCTGCTTGTTATAGATCAGAGTCTGGGGACACTGAGGCACACAGGCTCCGGAGTCGTTGAAATGACGACATGCCTATACAGGTACACACACACAGACATGTTTCAGTAGTTTCATCACTACAGGAAATAAGATACTGGAGTCTATTATAGGTAACTGACTATAGAAATCATCTTGAAAGAACCTATAAAATGGTTTGTATGTTTTTGCTCAAAAATAATACAAGTCCTTTCGTTGCACAGATTATTTCTGTTTAATATGACTTCTGGTTGCTTTCAAAATTAATATTTGAATTAGATGTCTCGACAGCTATTGAATGGATTGCTGTGAAATTTGGTTGTTTCACTTGGGATGAATTGTAATAACTTCATAAAGGACACAAAGCACTTGGATGCCTCAATACAGCTTCGGTATATTGTCTTCAAACACAATGTTCTTCTGAATCTTATCGGTTGAATCCTGTACAGAGACAAAGACAGAGCACTTACAAAACAATCCACATCCAGAGGGCCTTTACATCCAGCGGCACACTCTATGTGACAGCAGTCCCTGGGGCTCGTCCCAAAACAACGGCCATTACACTGTGGCGCGCACACCGTCTTAGTCACTGGGACAGACGAGAGAGATGGGTTCATCAGAGGGCAACCAAGTGCATGAGTGTGTTGTCTTTGTGTGTGCATCTCTCTGTCTCAGTGAACTTCTGTCTGAGACAGAGAGACATTCAGTAAAGAGAAAAAAGGAACGCAAGAGAGTGAGAGAGAAAGAGAGAGAGAAGTGCAGAGAAACAATGAGGAGGAAAATGGAAACAACAACTGGGCACTCACAGATCTGACACTGGCCCTTATTTGGCCCCCAGCAGTAATCTCCACAAGATTTGTGGCATGGGCCTGAGGGACAAAATGAGATCAAGAGACAGAAAGACAGGTAGCACATATAAGAAAGAGACAATGTAGAGATAGTTTTATGATAAATGTAATGTGACTATCCCAGCACTTGCCTCTATCGCCGTTGTACCGGATGTCAATAGGTGCACTGTTATCCTGGATAATATCTTGCCAGAAGATCCAGGGGCCATAATTCAGGTACGTGTTGTTGATAATCTGCACGCCCCCCTCCAGAATCTCTACAAAGAAATGGATGAAACATGATACAAGCTATAAAGAGACAACAGACAAGACATTCTAATATTATAGTAACGCTTGAGTTTAATATTTTGTATAAATATTTTGCACATCTATAATACAATTTACCTAAAGGATTTTTTTCTACCCATTTTCTTGTCTGGCAGCCAAGTATCGATATCGCTGTCACATGCAATGGTCAAATAAATACTCAATAATTACCTTGGCTGAGGCAGAGGTAGTGTTTTTACTGGTGTTGGTTTGTTTGTTGGTTTGTTCACAACATAACTCAAAAAGTAATGAATGGATTTGAATGAAATGTTTTGGAGCGGTAAGGTATGGACCACATACGGACCAATCCATTCAATTTCGGTGCTGATCCAGATCATCATTCAAATCCAGGAGTTTGTTTAAAGGATTCTTCACCATTGTGAGACAGGGCCAATCTCATTATTTCTGCTTATAACTCCACACATAATGCCAACAATACTTGTACAAAAATTGCACAGTAACATCAACATAAGATCTACCACACACCAAAGTCTGATCTGGATCTTGCTACTGTGACACGAGAAATAACACTACAAACTTGCAACTAGCAACAAATTCGAGCTGAAACTGGTGATTCAGTAGGGTGTCAGTAGAGTTGACGTATCTTCGAAAGTTACTGAGCTTGATCCTGAAGAAAACTGCCATTATTTAACTATCATTTTTCTTGAATAACTTTTGAAATAACAATGTGATTACAAATAATAGAGGTAGGTTTTCACAGTCAAGGAATCATATGATGGGGTCAAACTATCATAGAAATAATGCATTTAGGTATAATGGTATCATGGGGAAACTGAGGTGCCTTGGCAGTTTGTGCTGTCTAGTTTAAAAGTACTTACAGTAAACATTTTCCTCTTAAAACCAAAGTTGTTATCCCCTAATGCCCTGATGGCTTGACATGGCCCTCATACTCACATGGGTCAGTAGGTATTTTATTAATATCCCATATGTATTAAATAATTACAGTGTAATATAGGAGCTGTAATATAAGGCATTGCTGACATTATATTTTCCTTTTTTAGAGTTTCAAGAAGCTGCAGCACCCTGGGAAAGCCTTCTTTCTTGCAGTCCCTATATCTGAGTCTGCCTCAAGGTTAGTATAGTTTTTCTCATTCTTAACTAACACTCTACAAGGTATGAGTCACACACCCACCAAGGTGACCTTTTGTTACCATGGGTCACACTCTCTTCACCATCACGGAATGGAATTCAGAGGTCTTTGTTTACGCTGACTTCAGTGCCTTATGTGAATCACTGAAAAACACCATGTATAGGATGTCTTTTGCTCATGCTTCCGTTTTCCTGTCTCTAATGTCTCTTCCCTTATTAGCCCTCTTTACCTGTCAGATTTGCGAGCCCCAGCTGCCGCAAGCCATTGGATCCATCTTTAGGGTAGTTGAGGAAGACAGAGAGGGCAAAGCGTCTTTCATACAGGCTGGTTCCTCTGATGACCCGCAGCTGTCCTAAAGGAATCTCCTGAAAGTGGTTCATAGCAATAAGGATGTAGCCAGTCACCTCGCGGATTGTCTGAAAGGAAGATCATCAATATATGAACTACCAGGCATTTAATTTGATCTGCTCCACTTCTAAGGTATGCTGAATACGCAAGACAACCGATAGAACAAATAGGGGGAAGACTTTCTTAAAAAGTCAATTAACAGACCGGTAAGCAGTACAATATTACAAGTGTAATGTAACTTCAAGCTTGTACAATCAAAGCAGCTGAGAGACAAGGGAGTGAAGCACAGTTTTACCTTGAGGAAGGAAAAATCCCAATTACTCTCAATTTGAGTGATCTCTAGGTTTCCCATGATGATCTCACAGCCATCATACCGGTCCTTAATCAGGTTGTACTGATTCTCCTGGGAGCCTGTGGAGCTGAGTCCGTTCTGTGTACCAGGACAAACCACTGACATATACGGGGAAGAATGACATGTTGTGTTTTAGGGAGGAAAAACTATACGGTTTACAGGATAGGTCCATGGTTTTAAAACCCTCCTCACATATACACTGAATGGGTTTTTGGCTGCATTTTTGAAGCAGTTTTATAGTAAGTGATGGAGAACAGAATTCACAGTCCTTATTCTGCATAGTAATGGCTTCTAACATTAAGTTGAAGCTGCTATGACTCTTCTGCACACTGACTTAGTCAAATCAAGTGGGGTATGTTCTAAAGTTACAGACCTTTTAGTGCAAAATTCACAAGGGTTGCTTGTTTGCTAACATAGCAGATGGATGAAAACACACAGAGGGAATTTTGTATTAAAAACAGCACCGCCTGGAAATGGCAAACTCAGACTATTTAACCTTTACATTAGCTTCAGTGGAACTTTAGTGATTTTGAAGCAGAGCAAGAACTGTGGTTTTTGTCCCTTCTCACGTACAATGAAACTGCTTTAGAAGTTGATCTTTCTGCAGATAGAACACCAAATCTCCTTCAATGCATATATATGGGCATGTTAGTATTGTTTTAAGACAAACAAAACATGTGTGAGCCCATCCTTTAAGGGTTGGCATTAAGCATTAATAATAAGAGAAGCATTCATTTCTGAAAGCACAGAACCTCCCTCACTGGGATTATAAAGAAAGTGTGAACCAATACATCACTTTTACTTTCTCAGGCAGCCATTGGGTTCCATTTGTGGAATTAAAATCACTTATCACATTTTGGAAATTTGGTCATGTAATCCACCACAGTGGACAATAAGTCTGCACATGAGAACACTTGTCAGCATTTTCAATGCAGTGCAGGCTCTTTAAAATCAACCTGCATTTACAGTCCATGAGCCTATGATGTAATTTTGACAAAGACTGAGGCAGACTTGACATCTGAACTGTAAATGTTACTGCTTAGGCTGCAAATGTATTTTAACATGATAAATAAATGGTATTAATAGTGTTCTCCTTTAAAACTGAACAAATGCTGAATGTCTGAGGGTCGATGTTCTATTGTTTCTGCTGTGAGTCTTCCTGATGCTGTGTATTGTGCTGGGTTGGATGCACAGTTTGATGCGAAGCAGGGTAAAACAAGCAGGCTATAACCCCACCACACGGAGCAGTCCAGGCCTGGGGCTGACAGAGTGGAGGCCGAGGGTCAGGAGAGCAGGGCTCCTCTCACACAAAGTGCTTCATTGTGATAAAGCTATAAATGTGGACAGTATCCCAGTGAGTGAAGAGTGATGCACTGACAGAGTGCTTCTGTGTGTCTGCATATGTGTGTGTCTGAGCGGCCTGCGTTGCTGAGATCATACCAAAAGACAATAGGCCATGTGTGAGCTGGACATTCTGGCAGAGGGAAGGGAAATGTTGTGATCGGAAGGAGACGTACACATCATACCGTACTGACCAGAAAAGCAAAACTAATAAAAACCTGCGGTGCTGGTCCTTCATAATTAGACACCTGCAGCAGACAACACATCACATTTCCTGTCCTCACTGGGAACATGCAGAGGTGTAGCCCAGAATCTTCTAGTTACTCTAAAATGAAGTTAATTACCTCCATAAACAGCATGAGGCTTGTTACGTACACTTATACAGATAGTACTCGAGAGCCACATGTTGACTGTAGCAAAACCCATAGCTTTATGCCATTATTCATTTATGAATGTCTTGAGTAAACACTGACACTGAATAGAAGTTGAATTCATAGTTAATCTGGTAGGGCTGCAAAACACTTCGACAGGCACATAATCCAAACATGTTTAAGCTTTTAAACTTAATATTTTGTTATATGTTATATATCTATCTATATTTTAATATTTTTATTTTTTGTATAAATGTTTATATAAAAACTCATTCTTTTGTCAATATTACTAAACACTGTAACACCATTCTTGTGTTAATTCCCCCTATTTAGAATTCAAAAGCAGTATACAAACACTTAGTAAATGATTTCTAACACATTTTAACGACATTGTGAGCAGACATACATGTTTATATTAAGAAAAGTATCGCTGGTAGCTTAAATCTTTCCAACTGGACCCTTGCCATACTGACAATGTTTCCCCCACTAGGGTATTTCATTAATCATTAGCAGTATATAAAGTAGTGACCAGGCTTTCAATAGAACACAGTAAGTACTGTGTGATGTGAGACAAAGGAGAGGAGAGATTAGGGTTAATAGCTCATAAAATGCTACTTTCTTAACCTCTGGCAAGTCTGGACAGCATCCTGTTCTATTGAACAAACTAAATGTAATTGCATCCAGACCATGATGGTTGCTATAGTTTTTGAGTGGGGTTAGATAGGTGGTGAGGAGTGACGGCCAACAGGTGACTTGTTTAAGTGTAGAGAAATGATAACATGGAAAAAATAACCACAAGAAATCTTCTTTTCCTGGTTCAAGTTAAATATGGACTGTACAGCTAAACGTCTCTGGTTAGTAAGTAGAATTACTGCAATGAAAACACAGTTTGGAGACAGTGTTATGAACTGGTCCTACCTTCCTGGGTTTGGGTTGATCCCGTTTGTAGCCTCCATAACGTTACACACAGCAGAATGAGTCGCCACTGCATGTTGGTGTCCAGTCTGTTTAGTGAGATAATAGCATGTACAGACCTGTGTAGTCCTCTGGACAGTCACTGCTTTTCAGGGAACAATTATGAATGAAGGAAACATCTATCTCAAACCAAAAAAGGATTCAGGTTCCACACGATGTCGCTGTAGGACGAGCAAAAAAACAAAATCCTGTCTCATGTAAAAGTGAAGGAGAAATGCAATTCCTTTCTTAAAACTTCACACAGGACATGAGTAATTAAAGATAAGTCGCGCCAAGTGCAAATCTGAAAACAGCTAAGAACAAGTGGCAGTTTATCTACATGCTGGGTTTTCCCTCCTAGATAGGGACATGTGATTGGCCAGGAAACCGATTTACTGGCCAATCAGACGTCGGTCCGTCATTTTGTTTACGAGCTGCAGCACCAATTGTTGCATTAAACATGCAGATGCACAAATTTTTGCTAGATTAACGCAGAATATTTAAAAATGTTTTTTTATTTGATCCCACAAATACAATACAACAAACACATTAGGCATACACAGAAAAAAAGATGAAGACAACAAAATAAAGAAAACATCTGATGAAACAGTTCTCAGTTTTTTACCTTCAGTGTGTCTAGTGTCTGCTTTTGTGTGAACCCTGGCGTTATGCTAGTGATGAAAATTGGAATATGCTGCTTATAATACAGCAAACAAATGCTTGTGGTCTAAATCTTTAACATGCACACGAATGTGAACTCTGTGCATCGTCTGAGTTCCTTTGCATGCATTTGTTTTGGTTTGATGTTTTCAGCTGCTTCATGTGGAAGCAGTGTTGCGGTCTCTTAGTCTGCGCCCAGCGATGTGAGTGGGTGCACTGTTTTCCCTGTAAAGAGCAGTATTGTCCCCACAGCCCCGTCAACTGGTTAATCACCTCTTTGATGCCTATGGAGCAGTCTGCCACAGTGGGCACATTGTCAGACGGGCAAATGACTTCTGAACCCCAAACAAGAACATGTTTAATTTGAGAAGATGGCCTCAGAGCGTTCAAGATTCCTGAACATGAAGCTTTGAATGGGGGGGGGCCTCACTCATGGATGGATATCAGTAACTGCTTCTGACAGATGCACTGTTATAGTTATTTGTTGGAGGAGAGAGAGAAATAGCTAAACAGTTGCTACTTGTACAGAAAGATTGTCAACATGATCATTTTTCAATGGAAATTTGATTCTACTGATGAATCTGGTACACTTCATTAATAAAAGCCATCAAATAAAAGAAAACAAACGAATTGTTGTCTTATTTGTGCACCAGCGTGTACTATAGGCTGAAATTATAAATGCCTTCACTTAGCAGTTCTGCATCCAGCAGGAGGAGACAGAGTCTAAGTATTGGTGCCCTGAGCTGATGCTGGTGCACTCTCAGCAAGAGTTCACACCTGCAGGACTGCTTTAAAACTGTTAGTCTCTGATCCATGTATTTTGCTACAATCTCTATTCAGCTTCCATTAATGCACTGAATAATGAAAAACATGATTACTCAGGACGTTGGAAGATATTTTAACAATTTGACTCAGTCTTGTAGTGATAAAGTGCATTTAGTGTAAATTTTTTCCCCCTAATTCTCATTAAAACAATGAAAAGTGAAAAATATCAAAGTGGAAATGATGGTGATACCAAACGAATACATATTTATGATTGTTTTTCATATTCTCAGAAGGTTTCTGTGTTGTCCATAAGTGTTAGATGAGTCCATGGTTTCTGCAGAGTTTGTCACTTACAGCCTCGCCATGGTGTCAGCCCTGGTGGCCCTGTCCCTTCCAAGACAAGCTGTGAGGGTGACTGCTGTGGCATTTTATAGTTGCCACTCCCTTCAGAGATTGATGAATTGATTGTGGAGCTGCTGCCAGTGTGTCTGTGCCCTGGGCAAAGGTGTCCTGGTTACGGGTGGGAATCCCAGCTATGGCATCTGCCCTGGGGCTACTATTGTAGCTATCCTGCAGGGGGTCCTGGGGGCTAGTAGCCCTGGGAGCAGCACTGACCCACATACTGCTGTCACACCCCTGGAGACACAGCAGTGCTCTCCCTAACACGGACCTCTGATTGGCTCAGATAAAATGACTTTCTGTGAAGTGCAGGGAAACTACCTGATTGTGCAACCCGCTCTTGATGACAGCAGT